TAGAAATATCCCAGTATTCTTAAATAATTGATAAATCCGAAAAAAGTTTCGATGAAAAATACTCCTTCGAAGTATATGAACAATTGCATCCTTGCATTGTGTGGCGCATCTGGTAGAATAATCCTTCCGCGTATGACACAAGTTCTGTCCGTGACAATCTTTCAGCTGTAGCGTATACCTGCTTAATGTGTGTACTATGCAATGTGAGTACACGGTACTAAGGCGCCTTAATTCGCTGTGCAGAGTTGCGTCCCTTAGTTGTGTCAGAATCCAAGGATCGCGGCTTTGAATCTCAGATTCACTCGTTTTATTTTTCTTGGTTTGTAAATAATCGAGTCTGGACCAGACAGTCCAGTGATTGATATCATGAGCATCGATCAACGCAATAATTTTACGCTACTTCAACCCCCCTCAAGGGTACAGCCACTAACAATCTAAGTTATGAATTTCGCACTACCAATTTGTAAAACAATACATTGAACACATCAAAATTTATGAAAAAGCTCTATTTCCTTTAAAAAACTATAACTGATAATAACTCTCTTTCACTACAGGTAGACCCGTGAAGATTCCGGGGTAGAATAGGTCTTCAGCAACCAATGCTTGCCGTAAAAGGTGACTATGCTTGTCGTAAAAGGCGACTAACGGGATCGGGTGGTCAGGCTCGCTGACTTGGTTGATGCATGTCATCGGCTTTGAATCTCAGATTCACTCGTTTTATTTTTCTTGGTTTGTAAATAATCGAGTCTGGACCAGACAGTCCAGTGATTGATATCATGAGCATCGATCAACGCAATTGGGATACGATGTCATGCATCAACCAAGTCAGCGAGATTGACCATCCAATCCCCTTAGTCGCCTCTTACGGCAAAGATTGTCGCCTTTTACGACAAGCATTGTCCTTTTACGGCAGGCATGGGTTGCTGAAGACTTATTCTTACGCGGATCTTCACGGGTCAATTGAAATACTGTTCAAAGCAGCGATGAACCAAAACCCGCTCACTCACTCATTTCCTCAATACACATTAGAATAGGAATGCAATGCATATATAGAGGTTATCACGCGAGTGTGTTTGGGGATGGTAAATATCCTGCATTAGGAATAAACATTGTATTTAGCGAGCCTTGGCGAGCTAAATACATAGTGTTTATTCCTAATACAGGATATTTACCATCCCCAAACACACAAGCGTGTAAACCTCTTTTATCATATAATGTCATTCTTTAATTTCTGTGCTTCAAAATCGCTTTCCCTCTCTCACAAACATTTCCGAAACATTGCGAGTTTTCCTGGAATGCGCGCATTAATATTTAGTCCGTCACAGGGTAAGTGATGTGTCAGTCGGACAGTGACAGTAGCCAATATAGTTCCATCTAAAAACTGTTTCTTATACAGTGGCGAAGCAACTTATACGCCAAAGAGCAGTTGTTTTTAATTGCCTTTCGCGGCAATCAATCGGTCTTTCCGCTAGAGTAACTGCCCTTTGTAAAAGGGAAGCTACTCTAACCATAGTCTATGAGACGTCACGGCCACGGTCAGACGTTGTTGACAGTCGGTCTGTCCTGTCATAACGTTAAGAAGTATAGTCAGATGTACACACAGCGACAAAACGAAACAAGGTAACAATTCAAATATATTTCGGGTAAATCCAACTAAACAGTTTATTTTAATTTGTGGAGAAGGTTTCAAGCCGCAGAGGTCTACAAGCACAGATATGGCTACTGATTCCGCTTGGCTAGGCCTCGTGCCCTCGCAAAATTGTTTCAAAATTTATATCTCGAAAGTTGCCAAAACTTATAAAATGCCTTAGCTACGTCACAGTTAGACACTGATTCTCAGTTTATTAGACTGTTCTTTTGATAATGATAGCAATTATCCCTGTAGTTAATCCAGATTCCCGATGGTTAATGGGCGATCTTTTTCAATTTATCTTCCCTTCACTAACCCGCTAGGTGCGCTGACCCGGACGGTCCAACCTTAAACTGACGGCGCATGTGGTATGCGCAAAACGAGCACTACATGTTACTATGACGCCTATAGACAGTTAACTAGTATAACCTTCACCTCTGTCGGCAACAGTCACGCTTGTGTGTGGACAGCATATCTTTTCGCCTAAACAATGATTTATCTATTGCCATGTCCGGAAATAAATGTTCCTTGATTTAATGATACATCAGGGATGACCACGACTGATTGTATTGTATAGTTATCCACTAGATAGGCGTTCAAAGCGAGGCAGTGAGATCAGCTGATCGTTCATCCCATGTCGCTTTGTTGATCGGTACTGAAAGAGTTGGCCTTGATGTATGAATATGAAAATTAAGTAGATTTTGTATACGTTCCTATATCTATGTTGTAGCATCTCCGAGCAGGCTACATCATATGCATGCATTTCAGTATGTACAACGGTGAGGCGATACGGTACGCGAAATATGAAGGTCTCATGCGACGTTGCCCGTAGCCTCAATGTTGTGAATATTGACAGCAACACATGTACGAGCGTAAGTATTTGTCAGATATATAACAGAGAGCAATGAGAAATGTTCTCAAGATATTGTTAGAGTAACAGGCACTGTAAAATTACGTCATCAACTAGATTTCATAATAGAATGTTCAAAATAAAAGAAATGGAAATCACTGAAATATGTTTTGATATTTAAGGGTTAATTGGTGCATGTTGTATACAAGGATTTTATGTATATGAATGGTAGCTGTTTGTTGCCAAATACTACCATGATTATATTTCAATATGATCAATGAAATATATATATTATTTTGGCCTTTTTTTAATTTTACAAAGTAGAAAAAAAAATTCAGCCACAGAGGACCCTATATATTAGTTAAAATATACATATTCAAGAGTATTTGTACCAACTACAATTTTTATCAAATAAAACAATATATTCGTACTTATTGCCAATCTCTATAATGTTGATTGTATTAACAATGCAGTGTCTACATCCAGTTTGCATTGACAATAATCATATGATTGTGACACAGATAAAGCTGATTCTTAACTTCATTAGGCCTTGCTTTTTATATTTCCTTGTTCTAAAGCTTTTTATGTTTCCTTGTTCTAAACTGATGTTTCAAATTCCAACATAAACAAATTATTAATGTTTTTGTTTTTTTCTCTTCACACCAAAAGATATCTGCATTGCACAATGACTCTTATTATTTTATTTAATATCATGGCACACTTGTGCATGTGTACTAGTATTTGATTACACATGCATGACTTTTTAGCTGTCATCTGTTTCTGAACTGAATATTATGCTAATAAAGATAAGTAGCATTAAAAATTAAGGGACTCTGGTATTCTTTCAGGTTTGGAGAATCAATCAATTCATTGTGAAAACATTTTTAATTTCTTACATAAGTTACTTTGATCTTGATAAGATCAAAATAGATCCAAATTAAATTGAGGAGGATTAAATTATGCAGTCTTATTCATTACAGCCAGTCTGTCTAAAATCAGGTCCTATTTTTCAGGCAATAATAAGTGAATGAAAATTTAAGAAAAAATATGCCTTACCTGAGTGAATCAGTCAATATGCATATTGACTGAAATTTTCAGTCAAAATACATATTTGACTGTAACATATGTAAGTATAATCTGTTTTAAGAGCATGAGTATCAGAATTCTGTAAGAAATGATGGATCAATGAATTAACACATGTGATGACTCAGAGCACTTAATGGTGGGACACATGTTATAAGGGGCAGAATAATATGGGTAAATCTCTTATTTCAAAGAATGATGACTGGTATGTATATTGCAAATGAGTAACTGAGTGCTCAATAGATGCATGGTAGATGTTCATTTGGCCCATTTCTAAAAAAAATAATGTAAATTTAAATATTCAGATGCAACTTTAATTTTGATATAAAAAGATACATTTAAAATCAGTTGTTTTATTATTGTGAACGTTATTTCTTCTTAAAATATTTGTAAAGTCACGGATGTATACTTACTATATAGATCATTGGTAAAGGCCTGTCAAAGATGTCTGTGTGCTGCCAATGTTGGCGTATCACTAATTTTATTACATTGAAGTCCATGGTAGTATTTGTTGAGATTTGAATGCTTGGATTGTTGTGGGAAATAACACAAAGGCTGATAAATAAAATGATTCTGCATTATTTCATCGATGCAATATGTTAGCCCAGACTGACTAATGCCTCGCTCTTTTCTGACGTAGAAAATACCGTGGCAATATACCATTTTTCATGACGTTTTTCCCGCTATATTCCAAAGTGACAATTCGTCTTGTTGTTGAAGACTCAACAAATGTTCATATTATAAACTAATAATCACTACAAAATATGTGCTAGTTAAAAATATTCAGTTGTAAACGACCGTTTTTGAACGCAGGGGCAACAGGATAACTCTTTAGCTTGGCTCCGTCTCTACATGTCAGTAGTTGTCGCAGCGCGCATTGATCCGGGAACCAGACCGGAAGCGACAGTTTGGACCGTCGCTTATATCATTTCAAAAGGAGAGTTATTGCCCTTTGGAACAAAAAGATCGCCCATTCTGACTCGATCGCCGAATGACGAGGGCGACGCCATGTTTGTTTATAAACAGTGAAAGTAGTCCTACTTGACCTTTGATATTTGCATCTCTATCCTCATATGAACCCAACGGATATCGTTTTTATCCGTTGGCTTTATCCTGCCGAGAAACCTACCCATTATATGATAAACATATATATCTATATATATATATATATATATATGTATATAGATATGTATGTGTGTGTGTGTGTGTATGTATGTATGTATGTATGTATGTATGTATGTATGTATCCTGTTTAACACTACATGTAATCAATTTTCATCTTAAAATGAACAGTGGCATATATTATCCAATGTTTAACACGTTTCCTATCCTTACAATCATAGCTGCATGAACGAAAAAGGCTACCCAGCCAAACAATACAATCGCCATACTAATCTTCACTATTGACATGAGTACAAGGAAACAAGTATTCACATGGGTGGAACGCTCACATATCAACTACACATTACCGACGCTCAATACGTAGGCGGTTTGGGAACACTGGTGACTTTTAAAGCCTGGATGTAGATAATGTTTATATAAATGCTCTTGCGTGTCGGCTAAAGGTCGGTTGACTCGAACTTTGCGTGGCCCAATCTAGTTCACAAAGTTCGTATCAACATGTTATAACAACTTTCTATTCACTGTGACAATCCCCGCCATCACGACATGAGCTGTAATCAGTGTACCAGTATCCTCTGTTTCCTTGTGTGGGTCCTCCATGTTGGTGAGTAAAAACGCCTACAGCGGTTCTGACAATGGTCCGTTCATATCACAATGCTACTCAAAAAGGGAAGACACTGCTATCACATAAGCTGTTAGCGTTTTGTCGACATATTTATTGATATCCAACGTGACTTAATGCTGTTTATTTGTTGTTTAACGCCGCACTCAATATATCAGTTATATGAGGCGGTCTGTAAGCAATCGAAGCTGGACCAGACAAACCCGTGATTTGTTTTATTAGCAACGCCCCACAACGTTTAGGGAAAGTCACCAAGGCTGAAAATCCGACCCATTAAGTATATATCATTTTTCATATTTCATTATTAACATATCATGTTTTATCGCTTTGAAGTCTGTATTTAAATATATTAATTTGCAAGAGACGCCTTCGGAGAGGGAACAGTGACATGAATTCATATGCACACATGTCATGCAGTATGCCCTCAAACAATCATGTTCTATGACTCAAGGCATACCTGAACGTCGGCGTACTCTTTTCACCATACCATGCAGCGCTACAACGGCATTTGCTCCTAACAAGGCGCTTTCAATAGTAGAGTTAAACAACACAATCGCCATATTTGTACCGCGCGACATGCATTACACAATGACAATAGATCTGGGACACTGTGCTCGTGGACCTTTCACTTTTAATGTGAATTGTCAGCCAGTGAAGGTCGGACATTCGGAGTGGTTAAACTAGGTCAGTGTTGTAAAATGTTTGACAAGATATTGATTAACAAAACACTCGTCGCTAAGTGCTACGTGTACGATTTCATAAGGTTATTATGACCCAAAAGAACCCGTAAAGGTTTTGAAGGAGGTATTAAATATCAACGCCATACAATAAACAATCCGCATCATCCGACAAAATAAATTTCATTGGGCGTAAAAGGCGATAAATTGTGTTAATTTTTAATAATATTGAAAATAAGCGATGACACCAGGTGTTCACGAAAAGGGTAAGCATATCCTGCCCTACCGGTAGCTCCTGCCACTCACGCAATTAGCATTAAAATCTAAGTTTGCGTTGCTTGACGCCGTAGTCAGTATTCCTGCCTGTAAAAAATGCGACCTGTTCAAGGTAAGGAACAGAAAATCCAGTGTCGCTGTAGCGCATTTACTGATTTTATTGAAGCTAAAATCGATAAGAAAAACTGCTATAAATCAGAAGGATAATTAGAGAAATAATGCACATGGGCAATGTCCCTTGCTCACTCAGTAAATAAATAATGTTCCATGCTCACTCAGTAAATAAATAATGTTCCATGCTCACACAGTATATAAATAATGTTCCATGATCACTCAGTAAATAAATAATGTTCCATGCTCACACAGTATATAAATAATGTTCCATGCTCACACAGTATATAAATAATGTTCCATGCTCACACAGTATATAAATAATGTTCCATGCTCACTCAGTATATAAATAATGTTCCATGCTCACTCAGTAAATAAATAATGTTCCATGCTCACACAGTATATAAATAATGTTCCATGCTCACTCAGTAAATAAATAATGTTCCATGCTCACACAGTAAATAAATAATGTTCCATGCTCACACAGTATATAAATAATGTTCCATGCTCACTCAGTAAATAAATAATGTTCCATGCTCACTCAGTAAATATAATGTTCTATGATATTTCAGTAAATAAATAATGTTCTGTTCTTACGCCGCCAGTTGGTTAAATTCTGTGCTCGACCAGTCAGTGGGATTTTAGGTACACTCCCCCAGTCAAAAATTATGATTACCCAAAGCTTCTATGCGTCATGGTGTTAAGACAACTTTTAAGACAGTTCATATATTTCCGTAGCCCGTCCCTGAAAAGACAGACGGGCATTTGTAAATCGTCCTCGCTTGCTTGGGAATGCACTTAAGATTATCCCAACTTTTATGACTGATATCAGATCAGTCTCGACCGCAATGTTAGCTCAAAGTATCAGCCAATCATATTTCTCATTTCGTCAAGTGGTATTTCTTTTCTATCAACACGTGTCCCATAATGTGAAGTAAGCTGCCTGTATTTCATTTGTTGTGCTATTCTCGGGCATTTAGTTCACTGTTCGAGGTCAGGTCGTGACACAACACTGAAATACTCTACCGGGCAAAAGAAAGTATACACTTTTTACATTTGACTCAAACACAGTATACTGACTCCGACACGACCAGTCCTTGTTTTAGCCCCTTAGTGCCTAGCACCAGGCAGGGTAACAACAAGTACCATCTTGTAAATTATGTTTTAGTATGACACGGCCAGGGGATCGAACCACTGGCCTTCCGCTCTTATGGCCGACTCTCTATCCACTAGACCAAGGAGGTAGCGTAATCAATAAGCAAGTGATGTTTCGATCGCGATTATTTAAATAAATATCTAATAGACAGAAATGACGATGGATTATTAGCAGAATTGTGTCCATATTGTAGTAGTAGTAGTAGTAGCAGTAGTTTCTTCGTTGTTTAACGCCACACTCAGCAATATTCCAGCTATATGACGGCGGTCTGTAAATAATCGAGTCTGGACCAGACAATCCAGTGACCATCATTGGGATACGGTGACATGCATCAACCAAGTTAGCGAGCCTGACTATCTGATCCCGTTAGTCACCTCTTACGACAAGCATAATCGCCTGTTACGTTAAGCATGGTTTGCTATTATTAAACTTGAGATTTGACAACTCACGAGAAACGTTGGGAAAATGAGCACATTATTGAACCGACAACGCTCTTAAAAGAAGCCATCGATCGTTATTTAAAGGCTACAACACTAGTGGAACACGTGACCTAAATACTACACAATGAAGTTCACCTCTATACAGGGGGCACGCGTGGTCCAGTTGTCTGAGGCGCCACAATTCGCCGTACAGAGTTACGTCCCTTGGGCACACCAGAAACCTACGATTGTTGGTTCGAATTCCGACCATCCAAATTTTTTCGAGGTTCACTAGGTTTGTCAGCATCATACTCGTGCTCGTGGGTTTCACCAAAGTGGTAAACGTCTGAGACCTGCATCCGTTCAGGCTTTCATCCAACGGGGGCACGGGTGGAACAGTCGTCAAAGGCGCCGCGATCGCTGAGCAGAGTTGCGTCCCTTGGGCACGCCAGAAACCTATGATTGTGGGTTCGAATCCCGGTTCGCCCGGATTATGTTTCTAGGGTTGTCAGCACCATACCCGTGCTCGTGGGTTTCACTGAAGTGGTAAACGTCGGAGACCTGCATCACTTCGGGCTTTCCTCCCATATTAAGCTGCCACGCCGCGATATAACTGGAATACTGTTTAAAGCGGCGTTAAACTCAACTCACTCACTCACTCACTCACGTTCATCCAACATTAAGCTGACACTCCGTGATATTACTCAAATGCTGTACAAAGCGACGTTAAAACCAGTTCCCCCTCTCTCACTTACTTCGGCATATAACGTCAGTGTTATGACCATCGCTTAGGACATATCGGTGTTTAACCTCAGTCACGTTTACAACAGCGCAACTATGTGAGCCTCTATGGATGAAAAAGTTTGGAATAAATGCTCACGGGGTACTGAAGATATTTTAGACTCGTATTTGGTCGGCCCGATAAAATATTTTGAAGCGCCTACTCTTATAATAATGATTCGATATAGTCCACATTCCCGAATATATACACATATGGCTTGTTCAAGTAAAGGCTCCAGTAAGAGAGCATATTAAACGACCCTTAATTTCCAACATCTGCAACACATAATAATATATCTTTTATGCAAGTCTAAAGCTAATAGACTTGAATTGCATGGATCTGTCACCAATTTACTTCAGAGCGCTGTAATATGCATTATGAATTGTTAAGTGCAGACAGCAAGCGCGCCGTTGTCGTCGCGATAATTAATCCGCCGACGCGCAAGCCACGCACGCACATTCACAACACACACGCTACACCCCCCCCCCCCCCCCCTCCCCCACACACACACATTCTTTCCATCTCTCCCACTCACTCACTCACACACACAAAGAACTCGCATGCACAGAACTCCATCACACAGACTCTCTTCACCGCTCTCACTCACATACAACCCCCCCCCCCCCCCCCCCGACACACAATCGCCCATACACACAGACACACACTGGCTTGACCACACACACACAGAGACTCAAACAGTGGCCCCACCGTACACACACTTGAAATGGCTGAAACTGCTTGAATATTGCAAATAGTGTTTAGCATTTGTGACTGTATTGATTTCTTTCGCCTTTCAGATGGAGCTAGTTTTCTCAACAAGCCAAGCAACCTAACCATAAAGAAAGGAGGGATTGCAATATTTCCATGTAAAGTTGAAAATTTAGGTAAGAACTGTTTCCGCCTATAATCTACGAGGATCAACACGTAGTGTAGTGGAGTGAGCGCCTGCCCGGAGAGCGTAAGGCCGACCCGTGAAAATCCGGGGTAGAATAGGTCTTCAGCAACCCATGCTTGCCGTACCAGGCGACTATGCTTGCCGTAAGAGGCGACTAACGGGACCGGGTGATCAGGCTCGCTGACTTGTTTGATGCATGTAATCGTATCCCAATTGCATGGATTGATGCTTATGATGTCAATCACTGGATTGTCTGGTCCAGACTCGATTACTTACAGACCGCCGTCATATAGCTGGAATATTGCTGAGTGCGGTGTTAAACAACAAACGGAGTTGGCTATTATAGTGTATTCCACTAACTGGCGCTCTGTGGTGCTCTTATAAAGCGCCATATATTACATATAGAGCGCTAAGATCTCCAAAAGCGTTAATGGATCGCTGTTTGATCTCTAACTTATCTCCATAATCGTCGCCCGCCTGTCGACTCTCCTGCACAAAGATCCGAGGCGCTCCGCCCAGAATGCCGTCAGAGCGCTACTTGATCGCCAAGGTCGTAATCAGAGCGCTACTTGGTCGCCAAGGTCGTAATCAGAGCGCTACTTGGTCGCCAAGGTCGTAATCAGAGCGCTACTTGGTCGCCAAGGTCGTAATCAGAGCGCTACTTGGTCGCCAAGGTCGTAATCAGAGCGCTACTTGGTCGCCATGGTCGTAATCAGAGCGCTACTTGGTCGCCAAGGTCGTAATCAGAGCGCTACTTGGTCGCCAAGGTCGTAATCAGAGCGCTACTTGGTCGCCATGGTCGTAATCAGAGCGCTACTTGGTCGCCAAGGTCGTAATCAGAGCGCTACTTGGTCGCCAAGGTCGTAATCAGAGCGCTACTTGGTCGCCAAGGTCGTAAACAGAGCGCTACTTGGTCGCCAAAGTCGTAATCAGAGCGCTACTTGGTCGCCAAGGTCGTAATCAGAGCGCTACTTGATCGCCATGGTCGTAATCAGAGCGCTACTTGGTCGCCATGGTCGTAATCAGAGCGCTACTTGGTCGCCAAGGTCGTAATCAGAGCGCTACTTGGTCGCCATGGTCGTAATCAGAGCGCTATCGTATCACCTTAGAGCGCTGCCGATCGCCACGAAAGACTAGGACCAACCCCCCTGCGGACCCAAAATTCGGCAATCGGGTCGCAATAGGATCCCATAGAGCGCTAATTGAGTGCTAATGGATTTCCGTAGGTCGCCTAGATCGCTATCGCTATCGGAGCGCCGATAGAGAGCCATTTAGATCGTTTCCTGATCGCCTTGGATCGCAAAAGGTGCGGAAACTGTTCGTGCAAGATCGCCACATGAGGTTGTTTGGTTATAATCAAGGGTCTTCAAGTCGCTATCGGATCGCATAGAGCGCTATTGGATCGCAGCAGGAATGCTACCTGCATGGTCGTAATCAGATTGTAAGTGCCCCTTGATCACTGCAAAATGAGGAGACATATGGCGCTCACCCAGAGCGCGTAGAGCGGAGTAGAGCGTCGACTTGTGGAATAGAGGTATATTACATTAACCCTAATACAACTAACCGTGGATCGCAGAGGCACGCGAGATCAGCTTAGAGAGAGCCGAAGTCGTCGGCCTGAGCCAATTAGCCTTATTGTAAGCTGCGCCAGGTAAACTGCATTGTTGCCAATGAGGGCGATCATTACAGTCCGTTGGCGCCAAAGAAGAACGACGGATTGAAAAAAGACTCAAAACCGGGAATAGTCTTTTAAATGTCAATACGGTTCACGCAATGGACACCCTGTACCCAACTATATCTGTTGTTTGTTATTTTTGTTCCCATCACTGGAAATACTATCATGTTATGTGTACAGGGAATGATGGTATAAGAGAGGTCGTCTCGTGGTTATTTTAATCACAATCACGTTATCTGTCCAAGTTGACATCTTGAACAGAGGGGGGTACAACGGTAGGAGGAACAGCGCAGACACGTACTGCACGTGCTACACAGTACATGTCGTTGTTGACTGACAAGATGAGCATCTCAGCAGATATGAAACAGTTGATTTTTTAAGGTGAACGATTTCTTTTAATGGGAAGCAGAAAGAGTTAAACAAACATTTTTCAGCTTCTAAAGCTCTTGGCATGTCTCACAGCAAGCTGAAAAATGTTATTAGGAGATGGGACTAATAAATTAGACAAATTAGATAAATTAGTCTGACGTGCAATTGTAAAACTGCTTCCAGAAAAAAACTACATGTCACTAAAACTCTTGAAGAAATACATTGAAATTGAATCAAATGTAATTGTTACAATCTATGGCAAGGTACAAACAGATAAGTGGTAAAAATAGGACTGTGTTAGGTGAACGATCTGACATACTTCGTCTCCGAAATCATTATCTTCAAGATGCTCATGCTGTCAATCACTGGATTGCCTGGTCCAGACTCGATTATTTTAAAGACCGACGTCATGTAGCTGGAATATTGCCGAGTGCGGCGTTAAACAACAAACAAAACAAAACAAAAACATTATCTTCAAATCATCAAGCAGAAACGTGAATAAGGAAATGAGCCTGTTTGTTTTTATAGATGAGAGGGGGCACGGGTGGCCCAGTCGTCTAAGGCGCCGCGATTCGCTGTGCAGAGTTGCGTCCCTTGGGCACGCCAGAAACCTATGATTGTGGGTTCGAATTCCGGTTCGCCCCGATTATGTTTCTAGGTTTGTCAGCACCATACCCATGCTCGTGGGTTTCACCGAAGTGGTAAACGTCTGAGACCTGCATCTCTTCGGGCTTTCCTCCCACATTAAGGTGACACGCCGCGATATAACTGGAATAATGTTAAAAGCGGCGTTAAATCAAACTCACTCACTCACTCACTCACTCACTCATAGATGAGATGTGGGTAAATGCCTCTCACACAGCCAGCAGTCAGGATGTATCTGGGGACTGTAAGGAGTCTAGATCTTGGAGAAAGTAACAACGGGAAAAGGTGAAAGACATCGTTCTCCATGCTAGCTGTGGCAGGCAGGGTTTTCTCCCCGGTTGTGACCTCGTCTTTCGAACAGGGACTACCACGTAGAAATGAACGGCAAGGTATTTCTGGAGTGGTTGAAACATAAACTGGTCCCTGCCTTGCCTGTCAAATCCCTTTATATCATGGACAATGCACCATATCACAGTGTGCAGGGTCCAGACTGCAAGGCCCCAGACGTTAAGAAGCCTCAAAGGGGGTATTGCGACGTGGGTACAACATCTTCCCGAGGCAAGAGAGTTAACTGACTTTAAAAGTCCAGTTACCTCCCTTGCCGAACTAGTCTGGAATTCCTGGGCTCGATCGTAGCGCCACCAGTGGCTATTACGAGTTATGTCCCTTCTAAGCCTCTCCTTTAGACCAATCAGATTCCACCTCTCGTATCACTTGCATTGCTTCAAACAAAACAGTGGCGCCCAGTCAAGACGATCTGATCGATAATCAAGGTCTATGTTGTGATAAAACGGGTCTTCCATCGCGCAATGCGTGAGCACCTTGATTAAAACCATGAAAAGATTTGATAAATATTTGTTGACAACGAGTTGGCGGTGCACATGCTTTGCAAATCTTGCAATCGGCCGAAATATGCACGACAATTTACGAACCGGATTTCGATTTCGTTGCGCGATTTTGATTGGACTATGCATCGACTCGTTAGTCCAGCCAAAATGTAACGCCATAATACAAGGCTAGTTCGGCAAGGGTGGAAACTGGACTTTTATAGTCAACTCTCTTGCCTTGTGGCTGATGTGGCTACAACAGATGACCATGACCTCTCCTGCCAGGCCTACAAAACCACAACTCTATGAAGTCATCAAATCTAACAAACCTGAGCCCTTGTCTATGGCTGACAATAACATCAAAGGTCAAGGTCACGCCGTCTTACGACAACCCCCTTACCATTGTCATCTGAAACCAATACAATTAATATCGGGTATCGTCAAATGTGACGTTGGACGATTAAACACAACGTTTAATTTTCGGGATGTTGAAAAGCTGGTAAATGAATCCCTTGTTCAGGTAACAGTGGAGACATGGCAGCGTTGCGTTACCAAAGTCGACAACGAGACAGAGTCAAGATACGTGATGGACTTCAGCAACCAACAGTCCTACCTACAGTTGCGACAATGAGCAGCGACGCAAGCAATTCCGACGACGAGGGCTGTGACATGAGCGAGTCGACCTCTCTTGTACTAACATTCCCTGTACACATAACTTAGCTTTTTAAACCACTTTTTACAGAGATGGGAATTAAAATAACAAACTGCAGTTGGGTACAGGGTATTCAGTGCCGTGTACCGTATTGACATTTAATAGCCTATTCCCGGTTTTGAGTTTTTTTCCAATTTTGCAATTCATCGTTCTTCTTTTATCCAAACACACTGTTTTCGTTCGTAGTGGATGACACGCCGTCATGCAGAAGGACAGAGCGTCGTCTATAATGTCCTAATAAATTAATATTATATCATTTGTCAGCATTTTTATCCCCCCTCACCTTTGTTAAATGGTATGTTGAGTCGACAAATTATACCTACTGCTCAAGTGCATCGTTTTTTCTCAATGGCGTCGGTGGGACGTGGGGTTCTCTCGAGGCTCGATTTGTAACTGTTAAGTGTCGATTCCCAAATTGAAACACATTTAACCCAGCAATCTGTACGTAAACGAATTTAGTGTAAAACCAACAAACAACCAACAAGTGGTATACAATTAACAGATGTTTCACACGCTTAATGAGCTATATAAATCAACACAGATTACTGCACAGCAATTACAATGGCAGTATACGTTAGATCTGTAGCACAATATTCAATGGCAAAATATAAAATGATGGCAGTGGTAATAGGTTCACAGGTTTATTATTATCAGCTTGTAGTAAGCATGTATGGCAACGAACACTGATTAATTAAACCAGAACAAATATACAAGACGATTAGCTAAGCAACTGTTTGACAGTAATGAAAAAAAGTAGCTAAATCAACACGTTGACAAGATATTGCATTGTCAGACAATTAAGTCGGCTGCTACCAAGCAACACCCGAGGGTTGAATAGCGGGAAATAGAGGGCCTGTCCCTAAAAAAGGTTACTTGGACAAAAAAATAGACCAAAGTCTTATAGACTGAAGTCTCAGTCACTGGATGGAAATACTTCCCCAAAATACAAGGTACCTGACTTACGGAGTATCTATACTCACAATAATTGAGACAGGTACTTGACCAAAAGAATAACTTGACTCCAATTCGTCGTTAATAAGATACTTGGCCTAAACTAGGCAATCGCGGGAAAGTTGGTTATCCAAGGATTACTAGAAAATCAGGCTACGAAATATAAAAGCCTAGCCAATAGAGTAAGTCAGTACCAGAGAGAAAACTGCCCCAGGACCACTTTCCAATGAAACCTCAGTTTCGACCTGACCAAACCAGTAGCAAGACGACCCATAAAGGTCTAGCGATACCTGACGGTGAAGACACATCATATATTCGAATTTTATACGAGACACGCGGACCTCGGAGAGAACAACCTGTCCTGGTCAGCCGAGGGGACGCTACATCCTAGTAATATTCCAGCAATATGACGGCGGGGGACAACAGAAATGTGCTTCAGACATTGTATGATGTAAGGAATCAAACTCGGGTCTTCGGTGTGGCGAGCGATAACTTTAACCACTAGGCTATCCCACGTGCGCTTGGTTGTTACTGTGTTAACAGTAATAGCAAACATTGTGAAAAAGTCATTTCGCTAGCGATAAACATCATCCTTGTGCTTTGATCAAAAGCTAGGGGCAGCAGTCAGGTGACCGAGAGTGGCTATATCTAGGTTCACGTGTACCATTTGTAACTTCAGTTGGGGATGGTGGAGGGTCCTTTAACAACCAAATCAACATGTTGTCATGGTGGGATGGTAACATTCTAAAAGTGTGTGTGTGTGTGTGTGTGTGTGTGTGTGTGTGTGTGTGCACCACTTGAACCCCTCCTCTTATCCCTCGGATCCGCCACTAAAAGCCATATCGTCAATATGATATCCTTATTATTTTACAGTTATCAATACCACAATACCACAGTTTCTTTTGTAATTGAGTATATAATGAACCGATGCCCTCTAACATATTATTTGTTTGCACTTTCCCGCAGAGACGTCAGACCGTGTTGCCTGGTTTTCTATTACGTCATCCAAGCTACTGTCCATGGATGGACACTCCCTGAGTTCGGACAATCACGTGATTGTGATCATCGACCCGATTGGTGGATTCCAGCTCCATATCAACAACGTCACATTACATGATAGTGGGATGTACAAGTGCATGGTGACAACTGACCCTGTCATGGAGCAAACTTCTGTACTGCGTGTTATTGGTAAGGTTCACGAAATGAAGAAAAACATTATCAATATGTTTCTATTTGAAGGTGTTATTTAATATTTGATGCCGGGAAATTTCATTTTGGATTTGTGGCATCAGAAGGATGTTTCAAATGTCAATTTAATAACGGGAAATGTTATCATTTCTTTTCCATAGCTCTCAAAGGGGTAAGATAGCTCTGTGACGAGTTATGCCCCTTGGGTGTACCAGGATCCTATGTTCCAAGATCGGGGGTTATTATGGTCCTTGGTCTATATCATTCAAGTTATCGTTGGTTTCACCACTACGATTTTTATATACACACAAATGACATTATCCCGGCCTTACCAAAAGTTCACTCATGCGGACATTCGTTAATCGGGACGATATTGCTTGTAGCGTGTGGATGAAAGAGGTTTGATTGTGTACTCAGAATTCGGTGTACTTTCAGACAGCAAAACCCCAGGGAAGAGAAGGGTTCAAACGGGTGGAAGGCGAGCCAGGAGATCAAGTCGGGATAACCCAGGTTTACCCTCTAAAAACAAGCCCACAATACGGAGAAGAGCCTAGACAATTCAATCATCTTGCCAAACGATATCAAGTGCATAATATGTATATGATGGACATCTCATTTTGCGCCCTGATTGTGTATGTAAGGGAGCCTTTTAGGGCCATTTTCTTTTTGTCTTTTGTCTTGAAAATTCAAGATACTAAGTTGAAATTTCAAGATACATACCAAGTTGAAATTTTAAGATAAGATGTTAAATTGAAATTTCAAGATAATGATCTGGAAATTTCAAGATAATAAGTTGAAATTTCAAGTTAATATCTTTAAATGTCAAGAGAAAATTAACCCCCCAAAAAACGGCCCTAAAAGGCTTCTGTATGTATGTACATTTGTCATTTTTATTCCAGTATTGTTACATCAATTCAGTTTATGTGCCCGAGAGGGCTGAGGACCGACCGTTTGATGTTCAGCGGGTTGGGACGTTTTAAGAATATATACAAAAATTATTATTCGATGGAATGATCCTGAAAAGAGTATCGTGTAAAAAATGTTCTGCTCCCAATTTAAGAGTAAAATAAGCAATGTGTTAAAGCAGCGAGTGAAATGATATTCCATCTCTAACACTCTATCTAAATTGTTAAATGGTAGGACCCAATGCTGACCGAGTTTCAATATTGTATTTTCCGATCTGTTCTGTGATCACATGACATATGTCTCGCGAAAGAACAAAATGGCGGCGGACCAATTCCTTGTGCAGTGATCTAGATACATCAGTTCGCAATATCATGTGACATCTCGATAAACCCCATGAAAGCGAGCGTGGGCTTGCCGGAGTGAGTGTGAGTCAGTGAGTGAGTGGTCTTTCAGTTGTATCATGCCGTGATGGCTTCATGTAGTAGGATAGCCCAAACTGTTTCAGGACGAAAGAGTTTATTATGTTACCCTTACAAGATTGGATTACAGAAATGATAACTCATTTAACTATAATCACCAATGACCATGCATTTGGTGTTCTTTATATGTGTTTAGATGTTAAACCAGGACCACGTCGATACTCTAGTTTGAAATTGATTCAGATCTGGTGCCTTTGGTCATCCGTGTTTGGTAAATTGTTTGTCGTGGTTTGTCATGTAGATTGTGTTAATGGAGCAGTATTTACACTGAGTCCCGCGTAATCGTACGTGCTTAATTGCACCATATTTTATTTCATAAACTCTTTTTTTCATTTTGTTTTTTTAATTAATTTAAGGGAGCGACCATTTGATATTGGAGGATGAGGCTGGGGTTTCGTTTGGTGATAAGATATTTTATCATCTACTTTGCAAAACCAGATATATTTTGTCAGTCTAGAACATAAGTATTTTTTTCAAGGATATCCTGGGACAATTTGTTGTTTTCGATAATACCAATTTTCGGGCAGACCGAATATTTTCGACAGTCTGAAGCATAATTATATTTTTTAAGAATGTTTGATTAAAATCCCAGTCTCTCCAGGAATAACAAATGGTTGTTCTCTAAGGTGTTAGAGGCGTTTGAATTATGCACCTAGAAAGGTTTAAACGCCGATTATTAATTACCTTGGCGGAAGTGTAGCCTAGTGGTTAAAGCGTTCGCTCGTCACGCCGAAGACCCGGGTTCGATTCCCTGTATGAGTTCAATGTGTGAAGCCTATTTCTGGTGTAACCCTCCGTGATATTGCTGGAACATTGCTAAAAGCGACGTAAAACCATACTCACTCACTCACTCACTCACTAAATGTCTCGATATGAATTAGTCATTATTTAAATCGCATTCTGTATCATTCGTTGACGAAACACCTTTGTTTGTGTTCAAAATGTGCCATACAGAAAATGGAATGAAATTATAAAACATGTTTCGCAACTGTTCCATGACAATAGTTCTTTTTCTCTTTCGGTTGCTTCTTCTGCTTATTGTGAAGCGCATTTTCCATCCCCCCCCCCCCCCCCCGCCGTTATATTCCTGGCATGTAAAACGGCGTAAAACCATACCCATTCACTCATTCGTCTGCTTCTTTTTTATATTGATTGTCAGTTTTCATTATATCCAAGTTTTGCTGTCTAATGTTTAAACTATGATATACAACCGATTTATTCTTGTGATGTTTCACACGATATGTGTTTTTACGTGTTCATCAATGAATCGGATGTTTGGAGGCAATGTTGGGCTGAAATAATGTTGTGTGTAGGGTTAAATAAAAATCCTTGCATAAGGACACCCACGAGTATTAATGCAACGGAGAAGAATCTTGAATAAAAGCGACAAAACCATTTCCATATTAGCCAAAAACACTCTCTGCTGAGAGCAGAGTCAATTATACGATTACTTGGTTATGGGCCGGAAGAGCGAAACTTAGCCATAATCAACTCTAAAATCTCTTCGCTTTCGTGAAGCTACAGTAAGACTAGTCACGCTACAGTAAACGCGGGATAATTATTGCTATACCGGGACTCTCAAATTACAAGAAAAACACAGAAATGCGTATACCGTAATTACAGTATTATCTGGTATCCTTTGTTGGCTGTTTTAATGTTGTTGCAATTTATTTTTTCTCTTTTAAACCAAAGTCCTATTTTATCTGCACATAGATAAATAAATTGAAATCTTTATATATACCATCAAATATATACTGTATGTATTCTTAAGAAACGACTCTCCTCTAAACCCATCGGTATCATAACCCATATCAACTAAGAAACTAATTGTTTGTTCAATTACGAAACTGATCATCTCTTCTCCTGTGTTTAAACATCGAACTGTATTTTTTTTTTTACGAAACGACTCTCTAGTAAATCTCCTCTCCTCTCCTCTCCTCTCCTCTCCTCTTCTCTCCTCTGTTTGTAACAGCACGGGCGCTAATCTAAACTACGGTAATTCGGTGTTTTTATAGCAATTACTCATTTTCGCCTTCGTAGGACAAATACCCCGACTTGGGTTTTCGCTTTACTGATACTAGGGATAATTGGATTTTCGCTAACCCGGAACGACACCGATTACTTTATCATAATACAGTAAAATACGTTTATAACGAACACGCTTATAACGAACTGACGGATATTACGAAATTATTTTTTGGTCCCGGCCATTTGCTGTATATATGTTGTAGATATGCTTATAAGGAACTACGGTTATAACGAACTAAAATTAGTGGTCCATTTGAGTTCGTTATAACCGTAGTTTACTGTAATGTGCTTATGAATCACTATCAATTAAGAATGAACATTCACTCCGACGCTCATACAGTTTTGCCCTCAATCTATGAAGGCTTATACTCCAATGAACTCACACAAAGTGAAAAACAACTTTTATCATTTTGTGTATCACTATTCTGTACCTCAAAAGTTCTAGATCTATACGCAATATTTAGTACGCGTCACAATATTTTTACACTGACAGCCATACAACAACCAGCTGTATCGCGGAATAAAATAGTTTCTCAAAACGAGAGGTGAAATGAATGAAGGTGTGCTTAACATGCTCTACAGGAACATCGAATGTATTCAAATGATATCCTCATTAGATGAGAAATGTCAGCGCATCGCATTTACATTAAGTTCAAGACGTCAAAATCGTTTTTGTCATTAATAATATGTCACGTGATGAACCACGGGTCCGGGTAGTCCTGTGGCTACCCGGGTTCAACTCAGTACCCATTCGACCCGAGTTCCCGAGTTACCCATCAGCCAAGACACGGATCGAGTCGATACTTCGATAGTTTGGATTTCTTCGTTTTGTTCCCTCTAGGTTCTGTCGTAGCGAGGTATTTTGTAAACGATCATGCAATCAAACTCTCTGACGTTGCTCAATGAATACTAAAACGCTGAGTATAAGATTAAAGGGTGTAAATGATCAGAAAGAACGCTTCTGTATGTACTCGTGCAAGGGAATTCCCAGGGTTTTTCCCAGGAATGTTGAAGTAGTCCGTCAGTGTTAACGTCATTTCAAAAACACGGTCTCCTGAAAAACGTACGAACGTCAAATTGTGTCGTTCATACAATTATGAACGTCAATTTCGCGGTCATGTGACCGACCTCTATTCCAATGGAAAAGCCGTATATTGTGTATACTTCAAATTTTAAAAAAATATGGTGATGAAACCAGGTGTTAGCGAAATAGTGACCGTATCCTGCTTCATCGGTAGCACCCGTCACAACACAGGCAAAGGCAAGTCAATTGCTAAAAGAAACCTCACGGAAACATACGAAACATGTCAAAATCGGGAATTGTATCGGGCAACAATTTGCACCCACAGCTGGAAATGGGATGGAATTGGCTGCTGGAGCATAGAGAGTAGATGTAAGAGGGAAATATTTCATCTATATCACGGCGCGTCAGCTTGATATTAGAGTTAAACCCTGTGGCGCAGATTTCAGACATTCAGACCCCGGTGAAACCAACGACCAAGACCCACGACAGACCAACGATCATAATCAGGGCGAATTTAGGATTCGAACCCCGATTAATGGATCCGAGCCTTTCATGTTTCACCACGAGCGTGTACATAGGTGACCAGTCGTGTTAGGCGCCGCAATTTGCTGTGCAGATGATCAGTTTACTTTTGGATGGTCATTTAAATCGAGAAAGATCACGTTGCCAAAAGGGTCAACCTCAGTTTCAGATATATAGGTAACCTCATTTCTTCAAACAGTGCCAATAAGTATAGTCGCTTCCTCTATCCAACAGAGTTTGAAATCAAAGAAATAAAAGGGAAAAAATTCAGTGTCCTGTGTGGATCTGTGCATAGAAATTCGAATTTACGGCAGCCTTTGTACCAATCCCTACGACAAGCGTGATGACATTTTGTTGAAATCATGAACTACCTTTTCATGTCGAACACCATACCATCATCTTAGACTTATAATTGTTTTTACATTCCGCATCAGGTACTTCTGAGCACGAACGTTTTAAACACATTTCCTTTGGAAAGACAATCAACGTTTCAGTCGTTTCAGGCGCCGCAATTCCCTGTGCTGGGTTGTAACCGGCACCAAAACGTCACCGGCGCATTGTTTTAAACATCTACGAAATGACGATTAAGGACGATTTTATGCAAGTTGTCACTCTATCCTTTGCCAAACACGAATTCCTTTTTTAAAAGAATCCTTAACTGCCGACGACGTATATTTGTGTCTCTGGATGTCCTGGGAAAAAATACCTGTGTGTCTTGACGCAGTGACTTAATCAACTGAAAGAAGATGTTCTGTCACTCCAAGGCGTGCATTGGTCCCGTTTACCGCGCCTGTAACGACACCTGTGTAATTCATACCTGTCGTCATTGAATGACAAGTGTTGTTGTGTTACGGACTCCTTAACTCCACACGAAAAAATCGTCCTTGTGAGTATATCACGCGTGAAGAGGAGTCAACACCAAAGTTGAAGAAAGATGTCTGTGAATCATACAACACTGCCCCGGAGATGTCAATCGCTGTACTTTTAACCCTGAGGATTAATCCATTCCACCTTTGTTCTGGATTCCTTAGCTTGACAGGACTCCACACAAAGAGGCATATTGCAGGTGTTGAGAAGTGGGCTACCGAATCCTTGTCAAAAGTACAAACATTCTGACAACAATAATCTAAGGCCTATTTTAATACTGTCAGGTTGTATATGAGACAAGCAGTTACTCGTTTATGGGTCTTGAAAAATTAAAAAAACATTATTTCAAGTTATATATTAACTTATTTCAAATTATAAAAACAACATGTTTTAAAAACAATTTAAACAACTAACCCTCATGATAAATTGAAAGGGAAATATATTTTCTTATCTTTTGTTTTCAAACATAGGTATCAAAACAGGTATTTTATTATTATTGTTGATGGCCTTAAAAGTAACTCGAAATAACCTAAATATCTAACAAACTGGATTGCCTGATTGACAAAGATGGGGATGGACCATTTAGACAAGTAGTAGGTATCCCAATGGATACTGTGCACATTTCTCAGCTGATGAGTTTTCGTTTTGATACGAATCGGAATGTTTTATTTCAGTAAATGGGGGCACGGGTGGCCGAGTCGTCTAAGGCGACGCGATTCGCTGTGCAGAGTTGCGTCCCTAGGGAAAGCCAGAAACCTATGCTTGTGGGTTCCAATCCCAGTTCGGCCTCATTATGTTTCTAGGTTTGTCAGCACCATACCCGTGCTCGTGGGTTTCACCGAAGTGGTAAACGTCTTAGACCTGCATCACTTCGGGCTTTCCTCCCACATTAAGCTGACACGCCGTGATATAACTGGAATAATGTTAAAAGCGGCATTAAACCCAACTCACTCACTCTCGACTTCAGTAAAAATCAAGAAAGGTCACTTTGCAAAAAAGGTCAACCTCAGCTTCAGATATATAGACGACCTCATTTCTTTAAACACTGCCAGTGAGTATCGTCGCTTCTTCAAACCAACAGAGTTTGAAATTAAAGACGTTACAGGGAAAACATATTCAGTGCCTTGTATGGATCTGTTTATGGAATTCAAATTTACGACAGCCCTGTACCGAGCTGTACGACAAGAGGGATGATTTCGATTTTCAAATCATGAACATCCTCTTCATGTCGAACAATATCATTTTAGACTTGTAATTGCTTCTACATTTCTCCTTGGAACTTCAGGGCACGTACATTATATTCACATTTCCTTTGGAAAGACAATCAACGTTTCAGTCGTTTAAGGCGCCGCAATTCCCTGTGCTGGGTTGTAACCGGCACCACAACGTCCCTGGCGCATTGTTTTAAACATCTACGAAAGGACGATTAACTACAAATACAAATTGTCATTGGTATCCTTCAACAAAAAATAATTTCCTTTTGAAAATAATCAACCTTTCATCATTGAAGGCCTGATTAAGTAATTCTAGAAATGTGATGGAACTACGAGACGTTCAGGGCGATAAACTGAATATGACACATCGCAGTGACAAAAAGCAATTTCCCTTTTGTACCATATATTCCCGTGTTTATTTTCTTACGTGAACATTTGACTTGCCCTTGCATGTGTTTGTGACGGGTGTCACCGGTGGGGCCGGAGATGCTCACTATTTCGCCAACACTTGGTATCATCACTATTTGATAGTGATTCATAAACACATGCTCGTGATATTGTCGGAATCCGGCCATCGACTTTGCCTTTGGAGGGAAAGAGTTGTGTCGCTTTTATTGTCAACATACTGTGCAATGTAACCCGATGCTGTACTGTGAGGTTTCACACCTCCCTACATCTTCTCGAGGCAAGAGAGTTAACTGACAATAAAAGTCCCGATTCCACGCTTGCCGAACTAAGCTGCAATTATGGAGTTGGAAAAACGAGTCTGTGCATAGTCCTAACAAAATAGTGTAACGAAATCAACATCCGGTTCGTAAACTGCCGTGCAGATCTCGGTCGACTGCAGGATGTACAAAGCATATGTACCGTCTATTTAGCGTCAGCAGATATATTACAAATCTTGTCATGTTTTTAATCAAGGTGCTCACGTGATTTGATACACTTCGCGAAGTAAGGCGCGTCTAATTACAAAATAAATCTTGATCATCGATTGGACCGTCTTGACTGGGCGCCACCATTTTGTTTGAAACAAATGCAAGTGATATCATAGGTGGAATCTGATTGGACAAGAGGAGGGACATAGAAGGGACATAACTCGTAATAACCACTGGTGGCGCTATGATCGAACCCAGAAATGCCGGCAGGTCAACCTCAGCTTCAGATATATAGATGACCTCATTTCTTTAAACTCTGCCAGTGAGTATCGTCGCTTCTTCAAACTACAGAGTTGAAATCAAAGAAGTAACTGGGAAAACATATTCAGTGTCTTGTGTGGATCTGTTTACGGAATTTAAATTTACGGCAGCCCTGTACCGAGCTGTACGATAAGAGGGATGATTTCGATTTTGAAATCATGAACTACCTCTTCATGCCGAACAATATCATTTTAGACTTGTAATTGCTTCTACATTTCTCACTGGGACTTCGGGGCACGTTATCCTCACTAAATAGGAGGGATATAGAAGGGACATAAATCGTAATACCTATTGGTAAGGCTACGATGGAACCCAGAAATGCCGGCCTAGTTCCGCAAGGGTGTAAGCTAGACTTTTACAGTCAGTTAATTCCCTTGCCTCGGGAAGATGACCTCCTTACCATGAGATGTCACTGTTTATAACTCGTAATACCCACTGGTAAGGCTACGATGGAACCCAGAAATGCCGGCCTAGTTCTGCAAGGGTGGAAGCTAGACTTTTACAGTCAGTTAATTCCCTTGCCCCGGGAAGATGACCTCCGTACCACGAGCTGTCGCTATGGAAATTGGAAACTGTGTGACTTGTGGGTGTCAAACGGTGGAGCAGGACCTGCTTACCCTTTTCCCGTATTTTTATGTTATCAATTTGTATACTTTCATCACTATTTTGCCTTTTACGCTCAGTGGAATCTGTTTCGACAGTTATACCTGACGATTATTCTCTGGCGTTGATGTTTTAAACCAAACACGAATAAGGCTTTCACTCAACTATTGTTATTATTATTGTCTTTTGTCTTATATTTCAAAACGTGTCCTCTCTTGGCGCCTGAACCACCATCAACAGCTTGCCAAGCCAGGAAGACCTCATGCCTCTAAAATAAACTGACCACCTGTGTGGTCTAGTGGTAGAGCATCACACCAAAAGACGTTAAAAGATAGTACTTCTGTGGCAGTGTTCTATATGTGTGTATTCTCTGTATTTTCTATATTTGTATAAATATAATGGTTTGTAATGAAATGAAGTTTTAACCTTTTATTGTATTGCATTAGATTAAAAAAACCTGTATGGCTGCTGTATTCTACAGCGCTGCAGCAGAATAATGACTTAATCTCTCCGTGGAGGTCTTTAATTTAACTTCTACTGGCTGTGGGGTAGGGTAGGTTGCTTGGGTCGGTCATTTGTTTAATTCAGTTTACGCCTGATTGGCCTCGCTAAAAATACCAACATCCAGCATTTAACCAGCACACAAGCCACTACACCTTGACCATGCTGACAACCAACAACACTTGCGTTGTGTAATATGTCCACCTCTTCAGATCGTCCTAACAGATGCAGACATCGTAGTCCTGTCAGTTTGTGTTTGTTGAACTCCAGTTTCACCTACAGGGGCTCTTGTTCTGACCGTCAATAAATCCTTTTCACATACAGCGACCCTTGTTATTTATGAACATCCCCGGTTACACATGTTGTTACTGGCTGTATTATGTATGACCTTTGATAGTCTTGATATAGCTGAAATATTGCCGGACCGCCTCCGTGGTCTAGTGGTAGAGCGTCCGTCCGGAGAGCGGAAGGTCCGGGGTTCGAACCCATACCAAAAGACGTTAAAAGATGGTACTTGTTGTTACCCTATCTGGCGCTCGGCATTAAGGGGCTAAAACAAGGACTGGTCGGCTCGGAGTCAGTATACTGTCTCTGAGTGGGGTATTCATGTTAAACTGCGGCATGGTATCTCAGTTGGCTAGCATCAGTCCGGACTAGTGCAAACTAGCCACACATTCACATATAATAATATAACAAGTGCACTAATCTTGGATGCCCCATGTCACCCTCGCCTCTAATAAGCTGGCGGGTAAAGAAAATAATAACTTAATGTTGATTACAAGGCTGAAAAGAGTAGCCGAAATGCTGAAAGCGCGATGTCCAAAACACAATTTTGATACCCGTATTAAATACATAACTATCGAATAACCATTTCTTCTTTTTTTCATTTTCAGCCACCTTCAAATACGGTTGTACATTTTCTTTTGCTCAACAGCTTAGTTCAATATAGACGTCAATGAATAAAACGAGAAACACCGTTTTACAAATTATAATTTATTACAATAAATCACAAATTTAATATGTACCATAATGTTCTAGCATCAAACACGTGCATTTAATATTTTTCAGTGAGTTCATTATTACAAGAAAACCCCTAACTAGCACACACAACAAATTATATTCGTTACATCAAGGACAATATTTCGTATTTCATCCCATCTTTTATACACGATAATGGTACATAACCTATCCATGATTTCTACTTGATAGCATCTACTGTAACGTTGAAAACATCACAGTGTACGAGTAATCGGTTTATAAATTAATTAATAGCTCTAAGGGACCCACCCTTTGATATCCGGGGAATGGAGAGCGGATGGATTTTATCGAAAAGCACAATACAATTCCCCGAAGATGCATGACAAATATATATATATAGGCTACAAACTGTTGAAAAAGAAATACAGTGTTTCAGTGAAATTTTGAGGCTATAGTTTTTTTAATAAAAATAATATCTGGTCCCCATACAAGATTCTAGGACCCCCCCCCCCCCCCCCCCCCCCGCACACACAAACACAGCCAACACACACAAACACACACCTCCCTCCCAACCCCCAAGAGTATCAAATACTCACCCAAGGGTATCAAATGATCAGTCCCTTAACATTTCCAAAATCAGATTACCAAAGCCAAAATAATGATGAAAATGTGCTCCGAAAGTTAATGTTCATAATGATTAAAATACGACATGTGTATTAAACGAAATTATAGGCACGATTCTCTTGACATCTCTGTCATTTACATATGATCATATCAAAACCAGCTGTAGTTATCCTACAAGGATTACACTCTTCTGTACATTACATTGTACACCACAGCTTGCAACATTGCCATTACAATATTAAATACTAAGCTTATTGGAAGTAGCCAAAGACATACATCGATCATATATTAATATTAAGTTATTACTCGTCCCTTATATTTGAACTACATCTGATAGGCTTCAATATTATAACATCCTCGAATACATATATCAAATGTACTAAAATCTCCATAGATATTTCAGTTTAGGAAATAAATCCTTAATTTGAAATGGCTTGTATAACCCTAAGCTTATAAATATTTAAATGACAAAACAGCATACATTCCAAATATAAGCTGTGTAGTGAGTCCGTTTACTTAAATAGCCTTAGGTTGTAGACGGATCAGTTCCAACTGAGAATCATCTTAGCTTTTAGTACATGAATTGTCTTTGGTCTGACAATATAGAGCAGGATAGATATGAATATCACTAGTGCATCAAACGAGAGGATAAGACACAAACGAGGAATAAATTACTTCCTGGGGGGAACGTGCCTTCAAATTATTATATTTTTATTGTGTCTCAACCCCCCTAAAACAAACTGACACAGAGACAGGCACAGGGACACCAGGTAATGTGTCTTGGGGGAATATTCATTCAATATAAATATGCTAATGTTATTCAACACGTACACGTATAGATAACAGACTGACATAACTGACTGTAAAAGTCGTGGTAACAAGCTAAACTGAAGCTAAAGGACTAGACCTGTCATTCAGAACATAAAACCTGCCCTGCACATATACCACAAATTATCGTCAACCATTTCTGTTGTAGGCCATAACCATCGTATTTAACAAAACGTTAAATCTTACCAGTACCGATCTAAAGTCAAAGTGATAGTTATCTAAGAACTATTTTATTTCATCTAGGTGTTCATCCATCTCTTGTGACGGAGATATCTGTTGATGTTTCTCTGACGCAGATATACTTTGTTTTAACACCGCACCCAGCAATATTGCAGCTACATGACGGCGGTTTGTACATACTCGAGTCTGGACCAGACAATCTAGTGAAGGACATCATGACTAATAAGATACGATGACATGCATAAACTCCGACAGCGAGCCTGACCACCCACTCCCAATATTCCTCTCTTTCCACAAGCATGGGTTGCTGAAGATCAATTTTAAGTCGGATCTTCACAGAGGAGTGCATATATTCAATGCTAAATGCTCACCAACAGCTAAGATCACATAATATTCTATACGCCTTGGATTTTAATTAAACATAGCATATTTTTTTATCAATGTTTCAAAACATAATATTTTTTTCACTAATTGAGAAGCCAAGCAATATTTTTTTTTTTTTTCTCGGGATGTCAAGGTTCTTGATAAAACGTGAGAGCAAATTATATAAAAAAAAAATTCTGGAACAAGTATTTCATCAAAAACTCTCAGCCTCCCACATCCCCTCTCCGAAAATCAAATAGTCGGTCCCGCAGTACATGCAACAATTTTTAGGTACAGGATCTCAGAATCGGTTCTTGGTTATCAGAACATGCTTTCCACATGTATGTTGAGTTTTCCTGAGAGAACGTCACAACCCTTTGTTTATAAAGTTATCAAAGTTGAGACCCTTCATTTCAGCACTGATCCATTTACACATGCCCTCAAATTGAATTGCAGTGTTACTGTGCTTTAACTACAGCGATGTAATCGTAAGGCCTTTCGTGTCTAATTACTTGGTTTTCGGACGTACTTTTGAAATACATCCATATACATGTGGGGTTGGAGGTCAGATAAAAATTGATAATGCAAAACATTTTTTGTAAACTGCTCATCTGATACTTCAATCGTTTGGCTAAAATATAATATGCCCGGACACATTTTATAATTGTATATTTATATACATATTAATATGTAAACAGACTCCATAGGAAACAAAAAGGACCTTTCACATATTACAGTTAATATGTGTGGTCCTTGAACCCAGGAAAAAGAAAATGCCGAACAGTGTTCTAACACAACCACAGTTGTCAAACTATTGATCTTTCAAAAATCATTATTACGAAACAAATAATACAGGACAAATGATTCCATGCATGCCTTCGAAGCACTTTAGAATATAATGCTTTGAACTGAAGCTTGTCATGTTGCACGCAAATGTTTCAGAGAATCATGCACACCATAGCACTAAAAAAATCTGATTTGGATACGTCAAAGTTAATTGACATTTTTTTCAAAGTAGCGATAATCTTTTTTTATAAAAAATTTAAAACGTTTAACTCTTTGTTATAAAATATAAATTGAAATATGATTCTTTGTGGTGATAATTTGCACGTATTGATTTTACATTTAAAACTCCTTCCAATAAATGTTTGGCAATGTTTTCGATGGGCCATTGACATTGCATCATAGATATGTCATTCTTGAATGTAGACTCATAAACAATTGCAGCTTCTTGAATGTAGACTTACAAACAATTCCAATATGCAAACGTTTGCCAATGTTCAGCAACATATCTCAAGGTACCACTGACATAAGAGAACAAGCTACCACGAGTAGAAATGTCATCGGATGCCATACGATCAATAGGGCGCCATCGTTTGTGCTGTCGTCATCTGCAAGGAAAGATAGAGACAGATTAAGGCCTGGAATATATAACTGCGTACAACATATTGTGTAACACACAGAACAATGGAAAGACCCGTCATAGTACTCGCAACAACCAAACTGAACCACAAACATGTTTTACTATTACAATCTTCATCCAAAAAACTGGACCACATTGCACAAAGCGATCTCACATTTACAACAGTCGATAGTCAGTGGTAATGTATGGCAACTACATTCTTCTTAGCGTTGAGATTGTTTGTGAGTCCCTGACAGCAAAGAAAGTAAGGGGGGTGTATAATTGCGAAGCAAGAAAAGAAAACCAGAAGCGTGAAACCAGTTGGGATACATTGACGTAAAAAATGACGTCAGAACGGACTTGACGTAATTTCACAAAGGGTCTTCCTACCGCGAATTTTGGAAGCGATAGGTCCGCCATTGTTCTGAGTTTTCATCCTTTCATTTGATATAGGCTATGTATTCTGATAGCAATAGAACAGTAGCACACGAAGGAGATATGTCAAATAAAACACGTGCAGTGAGTAGAACAGAACGGAGAAGGGGAAGAAGAAACAGAGAGAATAAAAGGAAACGAAACAATAAACATTTAGTGACGAAACAGGTGAGAAATAAAATGATTTCGCGAATCTCTCTATGGAGGACAATGGTTTCCATTTGGTGGCGCTTCAAAGGTTCTGATATAGTTTTGACATTATCACACCTGTGACACGATTTACGCTTCATGATGAACATATCGAGGTGGTATCAATCAGGCTTGTATGCGTACAATTAAGGCGAGGAGAAAGGTGTATTTAGGGATCGACTAAGTGTCAGTGTTTTATCATACGTTTATGACTTTGACAAGAAAGTTGTTTAAAAGTGAACGCTTGGTTAGTAAATATTCTACCACAGAACAAATTAGAAAAATGATTCCATCACAGAACAAATTAGAAAAATAAATCTACATAAAAAAGTTTAGTCAACGATACGGTAACCTACTGGAGTTTATTGCCTTTCGACAGCTAAATGAGCGTGCCTAGAGGTTAACGTGCTCCGTCGTCCAGCCAATGATCCGAGTTCGTTTACGGTGTCACGAAATATTTTCGACCCCAGAATAAAATCTCCCCCCCCCCCGGGCGAATTTATACCGGTTCAGTTCCGCCCCTCTCGAAATTTACTCTCCCCCACCCTACGAAATAAAATCTCCCCCTCAGAATATTTCCTCCCCCGGTCGTTTTATAAATACTTGCCATGCAGTTCAATAGTTAAGGGCATTGCCTAAATGTCGGGCCGGACCGTGCCAAGACGGGCCACAGTGTTATTGGCTAATTACTTCATTATCGGCGATCATACCTACATATTATTGATGCAACATACACACATGACATTACTGAACAAGGATGGACGGTACAGTTACCAAATATATTATGCTGAAATATCAATTCATTATGACCTTATTTCATAATCTATTTTTTAAAGTAACCCTTCTTACATTAAAGATAACTATTTAAAGAATACAGTAATTAAAGACATTGCAAAAAAACGAATAATCAGGGGGGAGACTTTATACTGAGGGGGGCGCGAAATTTATCCGCCCGGGGGAGATTTTATTTCAGAACAGATTCTCCGGGGGAGAATCTGTACCGGTATAAAATCTCCGGGGGGAGAGTTTAGACCGGGACACCGGCACAATGTCTGAAGCCAATTGTTTTGTCATACGCAGCATGGCTGAATTTTGTGGCAAGTGGCGTTCAACCATGTTCTCCAATCAATCAAGGAAGAACAGAGCGGTGAACTGGCACTGGTACACAGGGACACGGTAACAAGAACGTCACAGTTACGTGACGTCCCTACGTCGGATTGTATACTATGTATGTTACAGCACAGATATTCACCTTTACTCGTAACACAACCAACAACAATGAAACTCTTGCGGTGTACTTACAAACCCTTTCTTCGCTACTATGCGTCCTTACCGGGGGCGGTCGTGTTGTAGGGGGCGGGGTAAACCCAGCTGTCAATCAACGAATCACGTGACGATGAGAGAAAATGACGTTGACGATGAGAGAGAATGAGGAATGTGGTTGAACGATCAATGTTATCAGCACACCTGCTCCAGACAACGCCACACGTTATACACGTTCTAAACAGGAAACAGTGTTCGCGAATACGAGCGAAAACAGAAGGAGCCCCGTGGACGCCATTTCTAGAAAATTTACAATCCACCACGCATTTCCATTGTAATATCATTACGTTCGGTATGTTGAATAGCATGCCTACTACAGCCACCTTCTATATTCAAGCTTCTTGCCTCCGGCTAACATAACGAGGACATTAATGACATTAACACTGTCCATGATTTCATCACTTCAGGACATATAACACACGTCTAAAATAACCTATTATATTACTTTACAGCAAGGGTTGCACGTTGATGAGTCGTATAAGGCGCCTTAATTCGCTGTGCAGAGTTGAATCCCTTGGGCACGCCAGAAACCGATGATCGTGGTGTTCGAATCCCGGTTCGCCCCGATAATGTTTCTAGGTTTGTCAGCACCTACCTGTCCTAGTGGGTTTCACCGAAGTGGTAAACAAACGTCTGATACCTGCATCACTTCGGGCTTTCCTCCAAAACCAAGCTGACACTCCGTGATATAACTGGAAGACTATTCATTTGGTGTTGAACCCAACTCACTCACTCACTCACTCACTATACAGCAGAAACTGTAGCTACAGTAACAAGATAGTTGCATGCACTATCCATCTAATGACGTCACTTCCGGATTGGAAAAATACATGTTTGACTACAATGCCTCTAGCTACGTGTAAGATATTTTATGAATGATTTCACTTCCGTTCAGTGAGGTGAAATGGGGTTTAACGTCGCGTCCAAGATTATTGCACTTATATAGCGACGTGCATGCATGTGTTTGTGTGTGTGTTTGCCTGATTGTACTAGTCCGGACTGATGCCGATTTATAGTGCAAGCTCACTGAGATACCATGCCGCAGTTTAACATGAATACCCCACTCAGACACAGTATACTGACTCCGAGCCGACCAGTCCTTGTTTTGTCCCCTTAATGCCGAGTGCCTGACAGGGTAACAACAAGTACCATCTTGTAACGTCTTTTGGTATGACGCGGTCGGGGATCGAATCCCGGACCTTCCGCTCTTGTCGGACGCTCTACCACTAGACCACGGATGCGGTCACTTTCGTTCGGAGTTGTCATATGTAGGGCCACCTTAACTTAAGAGTTAGTGAGTTGGGTTCAACACCGCTTTTAAAAAATATTTCACCACGGCGTGTCAGCTTAATGTGGGAGGAAAGCATGTCTCAGACGTTGACCCTCTAAACCCACGAGCACGGGAACGGGGCGAACCGTGGTTCGAACCCACAAACACCGGTTTCTGGCTTGCCGAAGGTACGCAACAACCCCTCCCCTTAAAATAGAACGTCCGATGCATGTAATAACATGTAATTACGTCTTAATCACTTCACTTCCTGTTTAAGAAAACATACATAAATGCATAAGAACATTAATTACGACCATTGTTTCTTTAGTCCAGACCCATATTTCCATGCCTCGAGAGAGTTTCATGCACTTACGGTTTTATTACCCTCAATTTCATCTAATCATATGCATTTCTAGTTGTAAACAGGTATAAACTATTACAAATACAGGGATTGGTTGAGTACACAAAGAATTAGAATTACGTTAAATGGCCACTCAAATGACTTTTACTTGAAGTTCGTTCAAAACATTACCACTTTGAACGATGCCAATCACAAGAAATAAACGTACCTACTTTCATCCCACCACCGAGAACACATCTTTGAATGTGTGACCTTGACAGTGATTTTGGACGTCCATAAGGGAACATTACAAATACCTATCCAGCACATAAACCAAACATGATGTTGCTAGGTTGAATTCAATGCAACAAAGAAAATTTAGACATCCCAACCATTGAAAGTAGGTCATTGTGACCTGTAATAAATTATTTGTAAAAATTGGAAAACATAGTTTACGAATGACATTCACTGTGGCCTTCACCTTTTATGTAGGTCACCGACCTCCGCTTTGCCCGAAAGAAGGCAGGCGCCAAGATCCCTTCAACAAAATCCTTCTAGAGTTCTATTTAGGCGGTTGACAAACGTTTTATTAGGCTGTAACCTTTTGCATGACCTTGACCCTCGACATGACATAACGTCTCCACGGATATAAAGGAGATGTATTTAGCATCCTCGAGACAAAAACAAAGTGCGGCGGCTGTCAAATACAGGCAAAGCTTAAAGCATCGCCATTTACACGGGGCTGCTTAATAATTTACAATGAACATTGTACAAAGCATCAGCAAGATTAGTATTACACATATTATCATATTATACATTACCACACCATACTAATTGTGAAAGTTATAAAAATAATATTAAATTCGTTTATGTGGTTGAATACAATCATATTCAAATGACATCAAAAACATGGTTTAAAGCTTTAAATAGTGTTCGAATTGACACAAATAAATGACGGTAAAATGGGGCAAACATTTATTTATTGTATGATAAAGAAGCGAGTTACGTCACAATACTTAGCAATCTCCAAACAAATGTGTTTGTTTTAATATATACATACATGACATGAAGTGATACGGTCGGACGAGAAGGTGTTTTTTTTTTAATTGTTTGTTATTTAACGCCGCACTACAGCTATATGACGGTGGTCTGTAAATAATCGAGCCTGGACCAGACAATCCAGTGACTGACATCATAAGCATCGATCCACGCAAATGGGATACGTTGGTATGTATCAACAAAGTCAGCAAGCCTGACCACCCGATCCCGTTTGTCGCATCTTACGACAAGCATAGTAGCCTTTTACGGCAAGCATGGGTTGCTGAAGACCTATTCTACCTCGGATCTTAACGGGTCTCTTGTTATAGTATTTCATTTTGTGTGAAATAAATTTAGTAGGTGAGGGTTGTGGCACAAAGCAATGAGAGTCAAAGCAATAAACAATTCAGAAGTTCTAGGATCGGTTAACATTGCAGTGAGGTTAAATCAGATCATAATTAAATCAACAAAATAATCTGGTCTTACAGATATTAATCATGTGGAAGTACAGACTGGCCAATGAGTAGGAAACAAATCTCAACGGCAGAGAGGTATGATGTCACTTTAAGTAGATGCGCGGCACATCTATACAAACGGGGGAAAACTTAACTGTGCTTCACATAAAGTTAAACAAAATTCTGAAATATAATAATACATCTTTCAATACATATTCATTAAGTAATCTCCTCGAGTTTTAAGTCGTGATCCACAATTTGACCAAATTATGTTGTTATTTTAAAATATTATTTAATAACATTTACTCCATTTTAGCACAGTTACTTGTTTTTGTTTGTATATATTTCTTTCATGTTTAAAATTTGAGTACCCAGACAGCTTGCTGAATTTGTAATAGGAGCTGTCGTCATATAACATAAATAATGTGTTATGTCAGTCATTTTTCATATTAAACAATTATATCACAAGAATAATAGTTGATGAAAAGGACGTCTGGGATGCAGATACAGAAAAATGGCATGGTACTATTTTTATATTTTCCTCATTCCTTTAAAAATTGTCTTTCTTTTCTAAAACAGCGCTAACTGTCATATCTAAAGGAAATAAGTGGCATGTGTAAAACTCTATAAAACACTTCCTGTTCTATTTTTTCTATCGCTCTCTAACCATTGGTGAAAGGCAAAAGAAGGTGCACGCTTCTAAAACCTAGTGACACAAAGACGGTCCTATAGCCAAGGCTCAGCTTGACGTGGTTGCATGTGAATATAATGTTTGGACGTGTTTTGAAATTGGAATTTTTTCATGTTTAACTCAAAACGTAATGATTTGAACAAAGAAACATACATGATAAAGTTCAGCTACCTCAGTGCCACAGCTGGTGAAGATATGAAATTTAGAGAGCACACAAATTCATTTCGAGTGTAAAGGTTAAACAATGGTTGCTATATTGCGAGAAACTCTTCCTCTTATACCACATTTCATTACATTTCGAACACAACTGAGTAATGGTGATATATATTTTTCTCAATATGGCTTCCACGACGGCCATATTGAAAATCAGGTTTGGAGCTCTTGCCTTTACATGTATTTGTGACAGGTGCCGCCGGTGGGGCAGGATACGCTCACCTTTTCGCGAACACCTGGTATTATTACTTTTTTTATAGCGATTAATAAACACATGCTCTTGATATAGTCGTAATCGTACAATTGACTCTGCTTTATGCAGATATTTCTATTGGCTGTGGAAAGGGTTTTGTCGCTTTATTTTATTACATGCTCTGTTATTAAACTGTTTTAATGATATTGGTATGCTCAAATATGTTATATAAATTGTTTTTAAATATAGTATGTACACATATGTTCCATAACTTGTTTTTAAATATAACTTTGTATAAATGGCTGAATTGTAAATATATTAACTTGGTCTCGTAGCTATATGGCTGGAATAATGCCGATGCGACGTTAAATTTTAACTCATTCACTCACATACTGTTTTGAATATTATACTCCACTCCAGTCTCGCTAGGCTAAAAAAAGTGTTACCAAGATCGAGGTGATGTAGCATTCTGTCGCGATCGGGAAGTACGGAAGTGATATGAGTTTTGTAGAGAAGTGGACCCTATGGAGGTGTATATATAGCATATAGCGATCCGACATACTCTAAAGTTTTACAAATTACACAAGACAAGAAACTTACATAAAAAAAATATTCTGATGCTTTGTATAATGTTATTGTCGATAAAATTCCCACAAACGTATGTTTGAAACCCTGAAAACAAACAATAAATTGAAAAACATTCCATGCTCTCCGAACAATTGTGTTGTTTCTAAAAAAAACATCTTTAATTGAGGGTTGCATATTACTTCATCCTCATAACCCAATACTGCAACAACCAAAATGATAAACCAAAAAATAATTAGTGAAATAGCGGTCACACATTGGTAGTTCGGAATGAACGTTCATTCAACCTTCTGATCAGAAAGACAGCTTTCTTTGTATAGCGTTCTTGAAGTCAGTTGTCTGATTGCAGGTGTGCTTCATGATGAATGGTACACAGTGAAACCTCGTTAATCCAGAAACTGTTAATCTGTAAACACGATTACTACTGCGACTGCTTACAAGCATACAAATTTACATATATCCGTCGCCATCATTCGTTAATCCGGACATGTGTTAATCCGGACAATGTCATTCGCTAACGTCCGGACTAACGGGATTTCACTGCGGGGTATGATTGACATCACACAAATAGAAGGTGTTGTAGTGGGTGGTCTTCCATTTTGCGAAACACTGCCCAGTCAACACAAAGAGAAAGATTAGGAATCAAGCTTTGGAAGTAAAATACATTATAGCCATGGAGCTCTCCGAGTATATTATGGTGCGAATACTACACCTGTATCGTTAATCTAATTATAAACCATATGATCCATGGTACGATAAATCCACAAAAGATAAGACATTTTGGGGGGGCTTTTATCTTTAAAAGCAAATACAATTTGTCCCTGGAAATACAGGACAAAAAATATTTCCCCAAGTTAAGCCATAACAAGAATGTTTACTGAATGTAAAAAAATAGAGACTTGATCAAAGAATAAGTGTTTGCCTTTCCGTTTCAGGGGAAAATAGGTGTCTTAAAGCACTGACCAATCAAAACTGTCCTCAACAGATGTTTCACAGACCCCGACCCCACAATATCAAATGGATCTTTCTTTAGCAATGGATTTTTTATATACACTCGAAGAACTCCTTTTATATATCAGTAAATGGTTGCTCCTCTACATGTGAGTATTATAAACTCAAATGTCATTATGACACATTAAGATTGAAATATGAATATTAATCGATCAATTAATACGCCATTGTTGGTCGTGTGTGAATGAGAATAAAAAAGTCATAATATGTAATAGATTTGAAATTGGTGTAATTACAATCGCCTTTTGTTCTTTAAGCATGATTCCATAAACAGAGGTAAATAGGAACGGCAAGAGAGACACACACAATCATTGTGCGTAAAACTGCAAGACAGGAGCCAAAACTTGAACGTTTTCAAATGGTAAAATGTTCCAATCCTCTACATCAGCAGAGCTTGCATTTCAGTAAACCTACACCTGGATTCATTCCCGTGGTTCTCGAGATTTCAAAATACCCGCCCTTGATTTTCCTTGGTCAGTTTGACTTCCTACGCTACATAGTCTAACGGACCAATCAGAATGCGAGTTACAAGCCAGCCTCAGCGACGGGTTGGCGATGTCAACAACATGGCGGCCAGTTCCATTGATTAGTTTTGCGAGAAGTTCAACTTTGAACAAGAGTTATCAGGAGATGACATATGTCCCTGGTCTGGTGAATTCGGAAATGGAGTTTGGCTACTTGTCCCCAATTTTGGTTCATTTCCACTGGATACATTCAAGAAAGAATGCTGTTAGGTATTTTTCAAAATGCCAAATCGTCAAAAGGCCCCAGTTCACCACTAGACTGATCTGTTTATCAAGTTTCATCAAGAAATATTCCACAGTTTTTCAGATCTGCCCCGGAAACGAGCACTTCTCTAATTTTCAATATAAGTCCAACTTGTCATGAAACAAAACAAAGGGGAAAGTGCCAAATCGTCAAAAGGCCCCAGTTCACCACTAGACTGATCTGTATATCAAGTTTCATCAAGAAATATTCCACAGTTTTTTAGATCTGCCCCGGAAACGAGCACTTCTCTAATTTTCAATATAAGTCCAACTTGTCATGAAACCAAAACAAAGGGGAAAATGCCAAATCGTCAAAAGGCCCCAGTTCACCACTAGACTGATCTGTATGTCAAGTTTCATCAAGAAATATTCAACGGTTTAGGATTATTGCTTCGGAAACGGACAACGAACGGAGGACAGACGGGCAATAAGACTGTGGTGATAAGAACTGACTGCCACGAAAAAGAAAGCCCTTAAAATCTTTTTTGGTTGAAAAGGATGTCTTCATGTCAAGGGATGTCATGTCCATTTTCGTTTTGGCTAATCCGGATTTGGTCGGTTAAATGGCAGTGAAAGTCAAGAGCGGGTACTTCAAGGTCGTGATAACCACTGGAATGAATGAGCCAGGTGTTGGTGCAGGTTTATCGAAATGAGATCCCCAGAGATAGAGAGGATTATATATTCTAAACTGCACACATTAGCTATATTAACTTGCAAGCAAACTTTCCAACCAAACTGTGGAAGAAACAAAGAGGAATATGACCTAATTAATACATTGTAACCAAGGCCTAATTCTGGTTAACCTCTACTTCAACGTCAATGAATATATCAAAAGAATGCTTAACGTCAGTTACACAGTTGACGTTTACACATTTGGTAGCCAGTCAGCTTAGTGAATTTGTAATAGGAGCTGTCGTCATATAACATAAATAATGTGTCATGTCAGCCATTTTTCATATTAAACAACTATATCACAAGAATAATATTTGATGAAAAGGACGTCTAGGATGCAGATACAGAAAAATGGCATGGTACTATTTTTATATTTTACTTATTCCTTTAAAGATTGTCTTTCATTTCGAAAGCAGCGCCTACTGTCATAGCTATAGGGAATTTGTGGCATATATAATGCTCTTTAAATTACTTCCTGTTTTTCTATCGCTCTCTAACCATTGGTGAAAGTAAAAGAGGGTGCAGTCTTCTATAACTTAGTGACCCAAAAACGGTACAGTCCTTTTTAGAATGTCCAACATGACCGCCATATCTGATAATTGGCTGGCATATAAAATGATCCAAAGGACCAGTTGTTTCTTTTAAAGTTGTTCATTTGCAGTTCGAGAAAGGGAGTCGTGTTTTTCTTCCAGGATAATATGGTCAGTTTTGCCGCCACATTGAAAGGCAGAAGTAAGAGAGAGCAGAATCTGTATTAGGTGACCATGTACAGATGCAGTGTCCGTAGTAGATGCTGGACCAGTTCTGATTTTAACCAGAAGACATCAGAAAATACAGATTCGGTATAGGATGACAAATTGTCGTCAATTCCTGACGGTTGCAAAACAGCCGCATTAATTCACACCGTGGAAGATTATTATGTATAAAAATAACAATTATAGCAAAGCAATACAACAAAACAAAAGCATTTTAATTCAATTTGCTACATAATATCTCAATAATTCAAAAATCATATGTGTTTAATAACCATACTTACGTTCATTTGTTGTAAACATGAATTTATCACTAACTTGTCCCCAGCCATAACTATTGTAAGCTCTCAACATCACTTCATACTTGGTGTCAGGGACTAGGTCCATCAGGCTGTGTGACTGTGTGTGGGTGATGACACCATCTTTGGACATGGCTGTCACGTCTACCTCTGTCCATTCGCCTTCGAATGTTTCGTTCATCTGCAAGTTAAGTGAGTGAGTGAAGTGTATTTTAGGTCGAAGTCAACAAGATGATTATCAATGCCATTACACTTAGGGACCCGTGAAGTTTCCGGGGTAGAATAGGTCTTCAGCAACCCATACCATAAAGGCGACTATGCTTGTCGTAAAAGGCAACTAACGGGATCGGGTGGTCAGGCTGTCAATCACTGGATTGTCTGGTCCAGACTCGATTATTTACAGACCGCCGTCATATAACTGGAATATTGTGCGGCGTTAAACAACAAACAAACAAACAAACATTACACTTCGGTGTTAGTTTTACGAATAACTATGCTGCGCGGTATCGTGTCCACGTCGTTTTCAACCTAAACATTATGGTGCTGTATTTTGGATACTTTTACTCGCCGGTTGAAGATACCATTGTTTAATATTTATAAGCTGGTATTACACAGTGTTTATTAGCAAAGCGTGTGTACATGTACTGCGAGAGCCAGTTTCGCTAACAAATATTGAAAACTCTCAACATCACGGGCTTACACAATGACATTACGCGTAGAGATGATAGATCACTGAAAGGAGCTTAAGCGACTTCGATGACCCAAGGATCCTGTTACTAGGCTGACGTGACATGGCATTGTTGACGCATACGTCTCGCTGTCATGTCCCGGGCGTGTTCAATGGGGGAAAGGTCTGGGCTCATTTTTGTCGTGACATTGTATGGATCTGAGCTACGGCGTTGTCATGAAAGACAAAACGTCGACCCACTTGCCTTGCAAACGGGGCAACAAAGAGTGTCAGTATGTTGTCCCGTTAATACAGTCCAGTGACCTTCCTTGCACAATTTGGTGTGGGGTTCGGTCAGTCACAGTGATACCCCACACCATAACTGATCCACCGCCAAATCTGTCATGCCGTCTCAGGTTGACGTTGGCTTGACGTTAATTTCGACGTCGCCAGACACGAACACGCCTATCAAGGAAGTACGAAGTGACTTGGGACTTATCTGAAAACATGACAATTGACCAGCGAAGGAAGCCCATTTCAGATGTCCCCCGCCGTGATATTGCTGGGATATTGCTAAAAGCGGCGTAAAACCATACTCACTCACTCACTTACTCACTCATAACTGGAAATGTGACGATGCTGAATTAGTTTACAGATGACGTCGTTAAATATTAAGTTACGGTAATATTAGCGCTCGCTCACGGGTCGATAGTGACATACTTTGCACCACAAACGGGAAGAGCAGTTCGACCAATTAGCCAGAGTAGTGGGTACTTAGTATTGCAGGAATCCCGACAGTGTCCGGGTCGCTACTGTTACCTCTCTATACATCAGTTTGTACGTCTCGGGCTTGACTGGTGATGTCACCGACCAGGATAGACTGTACACAGTGGAGAAGTTGCCAGCGGCTGGGCTGCTGATCTCAACTTTGCCAGGTAACGCTGAAACATAAGGAATGGATGTCAGACCTTCCAGTACCGACGGGTTGGGTGTGCTCCCTTGGTCGCTTACATGATGTACACTGATCATCATCATCATCATCATCATCATCATCATCATGATTATTATTATTGGTAGTAGTAGTATTTACAAATTATATTATTTATAGATGATGATGATGATGATGATTATTTTTATTATTTACAGATTAAAATAAAAAATGCAGCAAAGTGGGTTTGGGTGATCCTGGTACAGCTGGTTAGGATCATCATCAGCTCAGGGCATAAAGACACACACACGCATACACATGTTAAGATACTTTGGTGTCTTGTTCAGTAACTACTTAGGCCAGCATCAATTTCAGGAAAGCTCTCCTCACACGACAGCAATCAAACTGAGAAATTAGGACTGAAGCATTATAGTTGTGGCCGATTGGTATGCCCTTCTCCCCTTTGGAAGACCTGGCTGCCTAACACTTGGGAGATAGCCTTACAAACACCTTCTGTAGTCAGCCCCAGTGGACAAGCATTGACAATACCTGTTACCATAATCTTCACCGTGTCAGATCCCTTGTTATTCGTGACTCTGCAGGAGTAGGAACCAAGGTCGCTGTCTTCTATGCCCTTGATCTCCAGACTGTAGTCTATCTTAAAGCCTTTCTCTACCAACAACATTTTCTTGTTCTCTGGTAGGTCCCTCAGGTTAATCACGGTGTCATTGTGTCTCCACTCTATTGAGGGTTTAGGCTGTCCACTGGCGATGCAGGGAATCTTGGCTGAAAATCCAGGACCCGTGTGAAGTGTCTTGGACTTGGTGTGAATCGTCGGTGGATCTGTTTCCAAAGACAAATATTGTGTATTCTTGGTTTGCTCTCAGATGATATCATTTATCAGATGATTTTTAATGAATGTTATTTCCATCTTTCGTTTATGCTTCCTTGACTGTTTGTTTTTAAACACGTCAATACTTTTGAGAGAACCGCTCAATACATGATATAGTGACACATGACTTACAGCAATTGTTGTCGCCTATTGGGAACGTTAGTCAAGAATTTGTCCAGAACGAAGACATTGTATTGATGTATGGTGATTGAAAGTAGTTTGCTAGGTGACGTCATGCGCTTATTTATCAGATCATATCACATTTATATTATTGGTTTGTTAGATCGATAACACACACCTTTAGGTGATAAATACTATTAACATGACCCACGATCACGATCGTCGAAGTACGATGCCCCACAATCAGCCAGTCCACACACAGCACCAAACTGACAGTCATTAACCTTCTCCTGTTTGTTTGTTTGTTTGTTGTATAACACTGCACTCAGCAATATTCCAGCCATGTAACAGCGGCCTGGAAATAATCGAGTCTGGACCAGACAAACCAGAGGTTGATATCATGAACAACGTTCGACGTGGCAGAGAGGGGTACGATGACACGCCATCAACAGAGTCAACGAGCCTGATCCATTTAGTCAACACGACAAGCATAACCATGAATCAACAAGGGGCGACCACAAACATCTACACAAGCTTACTACACTAACAGAAAACATCCACCCTGACGGAGTCCTCATCCGGTTCGCCCACGCCGTTGAAGGCCGTGCATTTGTAGACGCCCCCATGGCTGTACTTGAGACCCGTGAGGGTGAGGGTGTCCCCCTTCATTTCCTTCTTACCTCCGGGGAGGGTCGCGTCCTGAAGTAAAAATACAACGTTAGTGCAAGAGAATAACCAATCTTGATGACGCACCGATTTCCAGATACCATTTGCCGTGAAGGTCAAAATAGGGGTGAAAACTATATGAATGGGCCACTGAAAATCAGTGATGACACCAGGTGTTCGGGAACGGGTAAGGATGTCCTACCCCACCCCACCCCACCCCCACCCCCGGAAGCACCCCTCAAAGAAATGATTTCATGTTTGACCTGCACCTAGCACTGCACCAAACATGTGGAATGTAAAAAACTTGTATTTTACGAAACCAGATTATAAAAAAGAGAGGTCAGCCAGCACTGTATGAAATCAGGTTCCGAACAAAAAACAGAGAAAAGATTTTTTTTGTGTGCAACATCACATGTAAAAGACTATCTGGTATCGCATCGACAATAATAAGATCTGTTTGTAAACAACAATGATGATGGAAATGATCAATGATCGAAATAATAATATTTGGATTTGCGTTCCCACTCTACCTACACGATACAATGTCATGCTTTGCCTTACCAAACCATCCCACCCCCTAAGGCACAGTCGGAACATAAATGAACAATCACAAAAAAAGCTTTTCTTCATTAACGTCACGAAGTATTTGGGTCATCCTTGATCAATTTCACAATTCAATTTGTTTTATTCAATACGCATGGGCCACTTGTGTGAGTCTTTGAGTGCAGAATATAAAAATACAGACAGGTTGAGCATTATAAGTGTTAGGATCTTGCAATGATAAAAGGAGGTTGAGTTTGTGATTTTCTCACCTCTCGTGACCACACAATCGTGGGCGTGGGTTTGCCCGTGGCGGCGCACGTCAGCGTGACGTTATCCTTCAGTGTTGCCTCGATGTCAACTGTTTTATTCAACATCTCCACACTGGATGGTACTGGAAGAGACAATACCTCATATTCAACAATTACTAACTTGTTAATGTGAACTTGACACAAAATGCGGCTTTTCCATTTGACGAGAGGTCTATCACTTGACCGCGAAACTGACGTTCTTAAATGTTTGAAGACATTTTTACGTTCAAGCGTTTTTCACGAGATTGTATTCTTGAAATGACGTTGACACTGACTCACTATTTCCTTATTCCTGGGGAAACCCCTGGGAATAAATAAAAACAATAAAAAATAGAAAAGCGTTGTTTCTGTCCATTTACATCTTTAATCTTGAACTTTCGTTTTAGCATATACTGGGATAAGTTGGGAAAGTCTGACCGAGACTGCCAGTTCAGGAATATATAGCCTCAAGAATACGACCCATCCTAGTGAACAAAACGGAGAAATGCACATTAAAACTGGGCCTGTGGACTCGTGTCTACAGCTATCTATCAAATTACCTCAGGATATGTTTGAAACATGTTTACAAACACCTTTTAATGATCGGCCGATTGTTCTATGATGACTAACATTTGCAATCGCCACAGGTTCATGAACAAAATCGGAAATCTCTCCCGTCACGTTTATCGTGTCGGCCATTGTGACGTCTCGTATTTGATGTAAAAGTATTACGACGCGCTGTCACTGTGACTGACTTACTGAGATAGTTCTTAAGAGCCCTTTCTCATCAGATGATGATGTTATTGGAATATATTGTCAATATATTGAATATTTGTTGTAACCAAACTACAAAAGAGCAAGTTAAGCATGCATACACTCATGTAACCTCTCCTTATGATGAATTATTTTATTCCTCGTTACAGCTGGTTGTTGTATGGCTGTCGGTGTAAAATGAAGTCACACTACTAAATGAAAATGTGTCATACATTCCTCGAGGTATAAAATAGCGTTATAAAGCTCCGACGTTCATACAGTTTGGCCCTCACTCTATGAAGGTTCATACTCTAATGAACTCACAAAGTGAAATTCAGTTCTTATAATACATTTGCCGACTTTAAAATATTACCATGGTGCCCACTTGAAAATAACACAGATATTTCTTTCATACAGTCAGACCCTTTAACAACAATATCCGAAACGCCCAAGCAAGTTTAGTTTTCGAAGGTTTAAGGTGAGATTCCCCTGATTCCTTCCTCTTACGTACAAAAAATATATTATAGGAGCATTTACTGCACATCGTGGAACATCATTGGAACGACAACCACACAATCAGGACAACTACACTTGAAGCAGTTTGATGACCCACGTTCCGGCAGTCAGGACTTTTTTTTATCGACTTTGGCTTATCTCCGCTATGAACATCATCACTTGGCAGTTTAATGTGTACAGCCTCGATCCTCAAATCGGGCATGTTCTGGACGTATATTTCACAATGTTGACAACCATGGAAAATAATCAGGTAAATCTGTGATTCAAACCCACTATTACCAGATCCTGACACAGCTAAGGGACGTAACACTCATGGCTGGATGGGACGTCCGAGTGATTGGAATGTTTGTGTTTTGCTTGTTTTGTTGTTTAGTGTAACAACAGACGTACAAAACACATTAACATTAGTGTGAAACAAGCATTCAGACCACTGAGACGTCACAACTAGCTGAGGGGAGTTATGCCCCTTTGCTGTGTCAGGATTCTTACCTGTGATGTTGATGAATGACGTTTGTATCAAAGGTGGGGTGGATGTGACCTGACACACGTATCCCCCCTCGTCCTCCTGTGTAACGTTGAGGATGTTGAGGTTATATTTCCCCGTTATCTTCATCCGGTTGACATCACCACCAATGATCATGTGGTTCATCGATATGAACGCTACCCCACGGGACCAAATGACGTTCTTTGCACCTGGAACAGAGCAAAGGGACGATTGCATTCGTCAGTTGAACAATTTGTCTTGGCTTTGCATGTGTTTGTGCTGGGAGTCACCAAGTAGGGCAGGGTACGCTCACCTTTTCGCGAACACCTGGTATCATCAGTGTTTGATAGTGTTTCATAAGCACATGCTTATGACATAGTCGGAATAGCACGGTGGGCTCTGCTTTTGCAGAGATTTCTTATTATTATAGAAATGGATTTTGTCCGTTTTATTCACGACAAGTGGTGAGGTAACTCCCTACTTTAGTAAGGTTAGCTAAGATATGATAAAAGAGAATCTCACCCAAGTGTCTTTTGATATCAAATACATCAACACGAGTTGATAAAAGTGGGAAAACTCCGAGGCTCGCCGAGGATTTTTCCCCTTTTATCAACGAGTGTTGATATATTTGATATCAAAAGACACGAGGGTGAGATTTTATTTATCATCCAACATCATTCTTCCAACTTGTTCAGTTTGTAGACAGTAATTAGCAGTGTCTTAAGTGTAAAAAGTACTGCTTACAGCTTAGTGATGTCATTTGTTTGTGACGTCATGGTAACAATGGCGTCACAATGGTCTGCAAAGCATTGTGATGCAATTTCATTGCAGCGATATCTACAGTGTAGATATCGCTTGATCTCACCCAAGCGATATCTCCTGTGGGAGCCAGTTTTGGACGATAAATATATTTATTAATCCAAGGGAAATTCATATTGCACAGTTGATTAGCCCTAAAATAAGAAAACAAATATATGACATTAAAATATGTACAGAAGAAAATAAGACACTAATATAACCACAGGTAAACACGGCGTCGTAAATTTAACATAATGACAGTGAGGACGTAGAATGGTTCTTAAACTTATACATATTTTATGGAGATGAGATACCCTCTGGTCGGTATATCAACCAAAAATATTTAACGGTTTTTTAGTTACTTTTTTTCTGCTCCGGAAACGGAAAACGGAAAACGGACGACTGACATGCTGATCGCAATATCACCCGATTTTCAAAAAGGGGGTGAGATTAAGGTATAACTGCAGGATAGGATTTGTATACAGCGAACTGTTATATATTATGAGTGAGTGAGTTAGTGAGTATGGTTTTACGCCGCTTTTAGCACTATTCCAGCAATATCACGGCGGGGGACACCAGAAATGGGCTTCACATATTGTACCCATGTCGGGAATCGAACCCGGGTCTTCGGCGTGACGAGCGAACGCTTTAACCACTAGGCTACCCGACCGCCCCTTATATATATTATGAACGGATAATCATTCAAAAGACTAATTCTGGCTGATATGAATGGACATCCGGGTCCTGTTAGTTTTCAGCATCGCCAGGCGTAGTCGGCGCCTAGGAGGCAGAAACTGATATTCTGAATAAAATATATGACTTCTGTCACATAGTATCTTAGGCGCCCTTTGGACAATTGGCGGCTCATTAATATCGCCGATCTTTTGAAAGTTGGTTCCTGATTTTTTTATTACTGAACCGACAGGCTCCCATATCACCAGTGGACATTAAAGACCAATATGCTTTGAATAAATGTTTCATAAAACACAGAGAGAATTGTATTATCAAGTTTAAGATACTTATGACGGCGTATGACAAACAAAAGATTTCGACCTTTTTTATGAATATGCTCCGTGTTGGCATTCCAAGTGAGTTTTGAATTAATAATATTTATATTAATACACAATGCCATTTAGAAAGAGGTCAAACGTAACAAATATTATATTTGGGATAACACTTTCTTAGTGAAGTACAGATTCTCATACTTTTTGGGGGTTGAGTCCCGTCCGGGATTCGAACCCACACTTGCCAGAGTGAGGCACCTAATCGCCAGCACACAAAGTCAGCGATTGAACCCACTCAGCCACACTTCACTAAGAAAGTGTTATTCCAAATATAATATTTGTTACGTTTGACCTCTTTCTAAATGGCATTGTGTATTCACAGCTTTCGGCCATGGGTCATGCCAATTTACACTTGTCAGAGGGGTACTCAAAGTACGTGATCTAGACTAACAGTTGCCGGACTTTCATTTTTGTGGAAGCCTCGGTGGCTGAGCGTAATATTTATATTGTTCAACCAAATCAATATTTTCGTTATCAATAACGTCAGAATTCTTTCTTTTTTTAAACTCCCAAATTGGTTCCTTTCTCTTTTCAACATTTAGAGGAGGAAAATGTATGATGAGTATCTTTCATCATTCGACAAAATTTAATTTTGAAATTTTGAACTGCTTTACAAATCCGACCAGCGCTGCGTCATCTGCAAACGTGACGGTTAAACAATTGTTACAATTACAGACCCAGTCGTTTGTGTATGAGTGAGTGATTGAGTGAGTTCGGTTTAACGCCGCTTTTTACAGTATTCCAGTTATATCACTTGTCACATATTAACTGAGTTTTTGTTTGAACATTTATCTGTTGAGTCTTTATGTTGGACCCCCGTCTACATATAATTCTAAGATTAAATTTTCCATTTTCTACGTGAGTGAATGAGTTGGGTTTAATACCGCTTTTAACATTATTCCATTTATATCACGGCGTGTCAGCTTAATGTGGGAGGAAAGCCCGAAGTGATGCAGGTCTCAGACGTCTACCACTTCGGTGAAACCCACGAGCACGTGTATGGTGCTGACAACCCTAGAAACATAATCTGGGTGAACCGGGATTCGAACCCACAATCATAGGTTTCTGGCGTGTCCAGGGGACGCAACTCTGCACAGCGAATCGCGGCGTCTTAGACGACTGGGCAACCCGTGCCACCGTTTGTGTATGAAGAAAACAAAATAGGAGATTGCCTTGGGGGACACCCGTAGATGTGAAGGTTACAGATGGTTTGCTACCACTTGCAGTCACACATTGTGCTTCTGATTATTAGAAAATATTCTATCCATTTAAAAATTGTTGAATTTACAAACATGTTTGATATTTTTTGTATAAGCGGACGAGCCTGTATGGTTGTTAAAGCAGGGGATGTCGACAAACTAGATTCGTACAAATGTATTGGAAGTTTTAACTTGTTTGTATACAGTAAAATACGTTTATAACGAACACGCTTATAACGAACTGACGGACATTACGAACTCAATTTTTGGTCCCGGCCACTTGCTGTATATATGTTGTATATATGCTTATAACGAACTACGGTTATAACGAATTAAAATTAGTAGTCCATTTGAGTTCGTTATAACCGAAGTTTACTGTATATTGTTTAACAGTGTGAGTATGGCATCCTCTACTCCTGTCCCGGCTATGTAGGCAAACTGAACTGTGTCAAGTAAATGTTCTGTCTGTCTTAAAGTCATTTAATGACACGTTCTAGGCATTCATAGGTATGGATGTCAAAGCAACAGGTCAGGATTGTTTTTGTAGTTGATGTTATGAGTGAGAACATCAACCAGCTCGTCAAAATCGTGCTAGAATGCCGGAACACGTCCCAAGCCGTATATCAGATAACGTCACATGACGGTTGGTACAGCACACGTGATTTGAGGCACTTCGCGAATTAAGAGACGTTTTATTGCAATATGAATTATAACTATCGCTCAGATCGTCTTGACTGGGACCGCCATTTTGTTTTGAGATGAGTGAGTGAGTGAGTATGGTTTTACGCCGCTCTTAGCAATATTCCACCAATATCACGGCGGGGGACACCAGAAATGGGCTTCACACATTGTACCCATGTCGGGAATCGAACCCGGGTCTTCGGCGTGACGAGCGAACGCTTTAACCACTAGGCAACCCGACAGCCCCTTGTTTGAGATGAGGTGGAATCTGATTGGTCAATATGAAGGACATACACAGCCACCTAAACACAACATTTTCATAATCAAAACCTGCTTAGAATTTATGTTTAAACATGCTTACAACATACGCATGCTTAACATAGACTTATGTCATCAGGCCATAAGTCAAATATGGATAAGGTGTATCATATATATTGAAATTAGATGTGTATATCAGGTTCACGGGCACATGTATAACACATCTACCCCCAGGACTTACAACGTACTTGGTACAATATGTACACAGAACAAATAAACCATACTTGACATGTGTGACGGAAGGGAACGACCACAAATATATCGGTTGTAGATTCATATTCCGCCGAGGTTTTATAAGTGCTCATAAATATGTTGTTGCACTGTGGCTTATAATGTTTCAGTCATACAGGAATCGGAAGCTGACAATAAATGCATATCTGACGACCCCCAACTCTGTTAAGTTACCCCCAAACATCTATATCCCCAAACGACGATAAAAAAAACCATACGGAAAGCACCCCTCTTCTAAATTGTCCAAAATATATTTCAATGTGTGTGTGTGTTTCGGGGGGTCTTTCACACATTGCGACCTTAATAACGAGTCTAGCTGTTACACACAATCCGAAACAAGTATTAACCCTCCTCTGTCTCCATTCCTCTATCTCGAACCAGTGAGGCGATCTAAGAGATTTAAATGTCAGATGAAGCGGTGTGATGTCCATTATTGGGTGAGAGCGATCAGCACGTACGCGCTAACCGCTTGGCTTGATAGCGATAGGCCACATTCAGATCCAGTTGGGCACATCTTTCACACATTGCGACCTTAATAACGAGTCTAGCTGTTACACACAATCCGAAACAAGTATTAACCCTCCTCTGTCTCCATTCCTCTATCTCGAACCAGTGAGGCGATCTAAGAGATTTAAATGTCAGATGAAGCGGTGTGATGTCCATTATTGGGTGGGAGCGATCAGAAGGAGCTCGCTAACCTCATGGCGCGATAGCCGAGGGCCACATTCAGATCCAGTTAGGCATTATACGCGTGGGAATCAAGGTTTACGAATATAGGTTCGTGTGTACTTAAAACGACTGATTTTGTAAACAGCATCGACTCTTTGGGTCGACTGTCTACGCCTAAACCATTCCAGTCAGAGCAATATGTGTTCTCTGAACGACTGGATTATTGTATTCTTCCCGATACAGCGTTAA